TCTACACTATACACTCTACACTCCACACTTTACACTTTACACTCCACCCTTTCCACTTTACTCTCCTCACTCCACACTTTACACTCCACACTCCATACTCTACACTTTACACTCCATACTCCACACTCTACACTTTACACTCCGCATTCTACACTTTACACTCCGCATTCTACACTTTACACACTCTACACTCCCCACTCCACACTTTACACTCCACACTCCTTACTTCACACTCCACACTCCACACTCTACACTTTCCACTCCACACTGCAGACTGGTAACAAGGGAAACATGTACAAGACTGTTCAAATAAACTATTCCAGAAAGGTATTGCGCGTGACTGCATAACCATGTGTTTTGACATCTGTACCATTAACATACGTGTGAGCATTCGGGTTCGTGGGCTTCATCTTGTTTTCAATCAAACTGAGTCCTTGCTGTTGGTGACAGAAAACTCTCTTCAGACTTGGACCCAACGTTGTCATTAGGGGAGCAGCATCACTATCTTAGCAGTTTTTCAAAATGAGCATCTTTAAATTCAATGTCAGTTTGGTGAAATCTAATATCTATTTTTCATGAAAACCTCATTTTTTTGCAAGACCCCTCTCTGTAGGGCGTAACTCTAACTTTACCAATCATACCAATCTTTTTCCAGTTAGCCTTCCTATTTGTTGATTCTATCACGCCATCATTTTGGTTCTTTTCCCCGGTTAACAATGTGTAAGGACCAAATGTTAGGGCCATTGTTTTTGGGACGCCCGAACATGGATGGATTCAAGATCACACAGCCATGGCCATTTGCCAGTTATAACTGGTGATTTCAATGGGATTATCCATTCTATAAATGGGGTTTTGTTAGTACTTATAACTGATAAATGGCCATAACTGCGAAAAAAAATGTTCAAAAGTGATGGGCTGGTGGTTTCACACCCCAAAAAAACATGTGTGTATCGTTGTCGCGAATCATGATCTCATTTCTAGGATCCTATGAAGTCAAGAATACCTACGGGGGGCCCGCCAATGATGTTTGTTCAAAATTCCCGTGAATAGCATAGTGATATCTCCCCAATGAAGCCAACACTTAACCAAATTCTTCACCAAAATTAGGCATAAAGCCATTGAACTCACCATTAAAATCCTGGCTCAATCAACATTTTCCCCATGATTTCGCTGGCCAAAAAGCCCCCCTTTTTCGGCCCTTTTGGATATCGCCCCCGCGGTCTCCAACCGAGGTGCCATTCTAAGGTCTCTGGATCGGCCGCCATCCCGATGTTCGGGTAAAAGAACCCCGGGAAGCACCGCCTCAAGAATTTTTGCTGATGGTTTCCGTGGATTTTCCCTTGATTCTGGGATGTGATATCAGCCACAGGTGGTATTTCTAACTAGATGCGAACTAGATCAATAGGTGATTTGTGTGGTAAATGTTGATTTTGATAATTATTAATTGATAATTATTCCATACATGGAGCATATGGGTGTGACTTCTCATGTTCTAACCATGAATCAAACCATGTTTGGACATGTTTCCCCTGGAGGTTCTCAGCTGGTGAGGTTCTCAACTTTCCAGATTTTCAGGTGCACGATTTAGATGAGAAAATGGCCTACAGTTCATGTTCAGCTTCTCTGTGGTGGCAGCCCCGGCAGCCCCTAGGCAGCCCCAATGCATCCTCCCTGGCTGAACAACCAATGATTGGTTAACGTTTCACCCCCATTTTTTTGGTGATCTTATCTCAAGAATCACAAGAAACCATCGTTTGTTTGCAGAGAATCTTCATTGGTCAAACAACCAATGGCCTTTTTTTGATTTTCGGACATCGACCCGATGTTTCGATGTTTTTCCTATCGGCTAATCTACAAATAAGACATCTACTGCAGTTATGGCCATTTATCAATTATATAAGTACTCATAACCCCATTTATAGAATGTATAATCCCATTGAAATCACCAGTTATAACTGGTAGCCATGGCCGTGACTGTGGGAACCCTGGTTAAATCATGTTAAATCCCAATCTCCAGCTGCGTGTCATGACATCTGCCAGGTTTGCCAGGTCTCCAGGCCCCAACCATCCGCCGGCTTGGCACCACTGCGGGTGCGACCGCCAGCGGCTGCGTCTTCTGAACCACAAGGGAGCACAAGAGATCACTTTTCCGAGAAAACTGGAAGATACCATGGATACAATCGGGAATATTCATTCACTGTAATGGATATATTTTTTCTGGGATAGTCATGCAATGGCTTTTACAATAAGGGTTTTTTAATGAACGTAGTTTCATCCCTGGAGGCCGATTCGGACCCTTGGCAAATCAAGGTTTGTGATCTGAGTTAAGGCCTTGGATGCCCTGAAAACTTGCATGGTCAGAACATGGGATTCGTGAGGTATGGTCCTACCATTAGCTTCCCATCATGGGTATCGCGATGGGTGTATACAAATCTCTATGAATTGATTAATGACCATACCTCAACATGGTAAATTTGATGCAATTTGCACAACTGTTCACCGTGGCACATATGTCAAAAGGAATGAATCGGTTTCAAAAGCATGCTTAAAGAATCAACTTGGCAACCGACCAAAGGAAGATTTACTCAGTTGAATGGAAGAGTTGTGATGCCCCCGACAAATTCAGATTTGGGAGATGGGAATTTGCTTCGGCAAAATGATACCAACAAAAACGTTACAAGTTGTTGCAGGTACAGAGCTCAAATGTTGAACACCCCACAGCCATAGACCTGCAAGTTTTTCAATCAGAGAGTACTTGTACCATGCTGAAAGGCAATTTATATCACTTTTTGGGGATGCCCCGAAGGAAATCAACCGGGTATCTTTGTGCTCTTACTTCGCTCAGGAGATATGTAACATATGACATTCCTGGTTGGTGGTTGAGCCCTATCCCTCTGAAAAATATGTTCGTCAGTTGGGATGATTTTCCATTCCCAATATGATGGGAAAGTCATTCAAAATTCCATGGTTCCGTTTACCACCAGCCAGCTATACCTTATCCCCCAACATGTTTTCACTTTTACGAAGCTAAACAATGAATTGTTTTCCATATATTGGTAACCAACCATGGAAAATCACAATTTTCAATGGGAAAATCCACTGTTTCTATGGCCATGTTCAATTGCTTTGTGGTAAAGCATGGCAAATTCTGTGCGCTTAAGTCCCAGGATCATCCCACTGGTAAGTGGTTAATCCTGGTGGGATTCGTCAGTGGAGCATCTAACCAAGGTGTTGTTCTCCCAGTTACTAAGTGTAAAACTCCATGGAATCATGTATTTTTAATTGGTTATAATTTCAGTTGTGATTATAACTCCAACTAACGATTTGTTCTCCCATTTATAACACTATAACTGTACTACAGTTATGGCCATAAAAATCAGTTATAAGTACTAACAAGTCACCCCATTTATAGAATGTTTCTCATCCCATAGAAATCTCCAGTTATAACTGGTAGCCATGGCCATAACTGTAGGTATTTCATGCCGACAACCTCCTCAGCCGCCGAAAAAATACAGCTGACATGGCCTGACCAATACACTTTTTTGCTCCCCTAAAACCCCCCAAAAAAAAACGCGGCCCCTTTATATCTCTTGACATGTCTCAATTACACTCGATTACGCGATACTATCTAAATATAGAGTTATAGTATCGTTATAACTATAGAGTTATATAGAGTTCAATTACGCGATACTATAGAATATAGAGTTATATAACTATATAAATATATTCTATACATTATGATACATTATCAATATAAATAAAATTGGTATCTGATTTAATATCTGTATTTTATATGTCCTCTTCGCACTCGCAAACCGAACTTTTTTGCCGCTGTGGGCTGCGGGGCGGTGCTGTTTCCGCCGAAGTTCAGGTGCTCGGCATGATGGTGCTGCACGTTACTCAACGATTGTTTTAAAAGCTGCTTTGTATTTAGTAAAACTATAACATAACTATAGGGGAAAATCACCATTCTCAATAGGTAAATCATATTAAATCATCATATTTAAGTCTTTATATGACTTTATGTGCGTGGTTATTTTTCATAGCTATGTTTGTTTACGAAAGGATGGTATACATAACCAGCATCATGTTGAAGAACTAAAGTTCAAGGTGATACCACATAGTTTCCTGGGTTTGAAGGTCAGTGATTGATTAATGTGATGAAAACATAAGAGTGATTGTAACATATTGTAACATAACCCATAGGATCCATGTATGGTATATATGCTAACATTTGGGGTATATTGATGGTAAATGTTACCATATATAGCATACATGGATCCTATGGGTACTTAGATGGGCGAAAGACCAACTTATAGATCGGGGGCACAACCTTGTATATCTATATTGGAGTTTCAACAAGACGACGCTTCTCTTTTTCCCTGAACCGCCCGGGACCCGGGATGAGTTGGGAATGATCCCGCCACTTTCTGCTGTGCTACAGCTGCCGGACACCATCTTTTGAAGGTTAAGAACATGTGGTGGTTTCCACAAATGGGGGTATCCCGAAATGGATAGTTTATAATGGAACAATCCTATTAAAACGAATGATTTTGGGGTACCCCCCATTTTAGGAAACCTCCATATGTTGATTTTGCAAAGTTCAATTTCCATCATATCATCAGCATCAGTTTAACACAGCTCGGCACCATCGGGCACCTGGTGCCACAACTATTCATTGTAAATTGTAAGCCAACTTAACTCTAGCTAGGTATAGGGCACCACCATCCGTAAGCCCAGGAGGTGAAGCTCCTCCAATCTTTTGGACAGAGGGGGCAAGCTTTGCCCTGCAGCACTGTGCCAAAATCGCTGCCACCGCAGGATTTCTGTGTCCTTGAGGGTTTCATCCGCCGTTACTACGGATTGATGGTGATTGATATTGGTTTACAACTTACCCTCTGGTAAACTAACATAGCTATTGAAAATGGCCCAGTCGAAATAGTGGATTTACCCAGCTAGAAAATGGGTGGATCTTTCCATAGTTGTTTGTAAACGTTTACCAGGCCGGGTACAACCCCAACCAACAAGGCCTTGTTCATTTCTACCTGGAGAGTCTATCTGGCAGTTGGAATTCGCCCACGGTCGTCTCAGCATCCGCACCGCGACACCCGAGATCCGCTCGTCTCAGCCCAGCATCGACTGAAGGCGGAAGGCGAGCAAAAGATAGGCTGAATTGAGATCCTATGGGTGTTTCTTCGACACCAAAAACCATGGTATTGTGTAAATAACACGAAAAAACACCGTTGATTTCGGGGGTTCACCCCAAGTCAAGTAACCACCATATGGTTGTTCAGCGGAGGATGACGATGTTGATCTCATCATGGATAAGTTGCACAGAGAACAGAATGCGTCAACATTCAGGTACCATTTCAATCGACGATACATATATTATAAACACATTGTAATAATTCCTAATATACAATAATGTACTATATGTATATATATTTATATATTCGCATGTTGAAGAGTCAAGCCTTAAAGTTGTTTGGGGGACGATAATATTGGTCAAGGGAAATCAACAAAAAAAGGAAAATCATGCATATTCAAATATATAATTGTTGTCCATGGTTTTCGCTCAGCCACTTGTGGAAACAAAGGATCACAAAACTACCCTGCTGAACGACAATGTCATATACTCGTGAAACTCCCATCAATAGCGCACTTCCAAAACGATGATGCCATGATTGATAGCCCACCTAACAGTTGCATTTACCGTCTACCCAACTGCAAATCCGTGTGTCCGTGACTATCCGGAAACAAATCCCTTGATAATTATACTTCTTGGTTTGATCCTCAGTGTTGTTGCTCGAGGCCCCCATGGTCTCCATGATGTTTCCATGATGTTCTTCCCATCCTTGGTTCACTCATATTGAATCTGTCTGAATATCCTTCGCCAACCTGAAAACTGCGGTGATTTAGAGGATCTTTGGTGACGTCGTGGTGATATACCCTTATGGGATGTTATGGGTGAATCCTTCATCTCGATTGAAAACTTGGGCTACATCGCTATCCCTCAAACTATGGCCATTTCAAGACACCAACCTGATTCAACCGGCGGATTCTGGCACTGGTCCATTTGTCCATCGCGTTTCCATGGATTTTCTATGGAGATTCTCCATGTTTTTTTCCACCGATTTCTCCCATATTTCCAAGGGAAAAACTCCCCGGTCGACTCCAAATCCGGGCCTCGAAGCCCGAGATGGCGGCTGCGCGCCGATTCTTGGCGCGGCGCACCATGACTGCCTTGGAGCGGTAGCTGCGAGATCCTCGGATCATCCCACGAATCGTTGGTTAAGCCGAACGAAGTCCCCAAAAATCGTGGACTTCTCCGAAATGATAACCATGGTGGAATAGTGATTTGTAAGTATGGTTACTAAGTAATATTATGGCTACTTTATAACTACTAATAATTTGTAACGGTTACTGAGCAATTTCCAAGTGGGATGGTCTGCAAGAGGTATAACCCAAAATCCGAGAATTCCGGTGGACAATGATTCAGTGGTTGATTGTGGTTTCCATAATTGTGATTGATGATAATCAATGGTCATTCCCAAATGCGCCATGTATGGAATATTTCCTATATTTGGGCAATTTTTGGAGTAAATGTAGGTAAATATTCCATACATGGAGCATTTGGGATTGGTAAGCAATAATCAACCACCCATATATTGATGGTTTATACCACCCACTTATGGTAAAATTGGGTGGTTGCTTTGCTATTGTTTTACTCACCCGCACCATTAAAAAAAAAAACGTGGAAAATCCATGGGGAAAAAGCTTCGGAAAATGATCAATAAACGGTGAAGCCAAACATCTATGTTAGTTTACCAGAAGGTATACCTAGGGAGGAGAGAGAACCTGAGCTATATTTTCATGACCCATAGGATCCATATGCTAACATTTGGGGTATATTGATGGTAAATGTTACCATATATAGCATACATGGATCCTATGGGTTACAACTTAAAGACATCTTGGGTTTGTGGTAGATATATCAAGCCATGGCTGAAAATTCTTCACCATTTTCCATCCAATAGGTGTTTTGGAGATGGTCGGTATCCCCCGCCATCCCCCACCCAGTTAGCGGTGAAATCCAACTAGAACTCAGTGATAGTTTGTTAAATGGTGTTCAGTTTTGATACTTTTCTATAACTTTTGGGGGGGAACTTTAAGAATCACTAGCTGGTTGGTGGTTTTAACCATCTTGAAAAATATGAAAATCAATGGGAAGGATTATCCCATATATGATGGAAAATAAAATTCATGTTTGAAACCACCAACCAGGTAAAAATCACCGATTCCCTGCTTTCTGCATCTCTGGGTTCCCCCGGACAGCCACGGAAGCCACCACCAAAATCTGGCAAGTTCGGGCTGGGGAATGGGTAGATTTAACCATCAACAATAGAGGTAACCAACAAAAATTGAGGGGGGTAATAAATTATTCTTGTTGATGGCAGAGACGATATTTGGATGTGTTTGAATTTGGGGTACACCAAATTTATGGCTATGTCATTGTTTTCATAGCGAAGGGCATGGAAGATAATTGTAAACCATGAACCTTTGGAGGGTATAATACCCCATTTCAGACGAACCCCTTCGAGGCACACGTAAATAACCAGAATCAAAACTTAAGGAATCGGAGGCTTTGACTGTCTAACATGGGGATTTGCATTTGGACCTTAATGTACACAAACGGGATTGCTATAGCAGAGTTCAGATGCATACATTTGGAATCAATTTTCTTAGATGGCATTTCTGTTGTGTGTGAAAAGCCAATTACATGTGGATCCAACCACTCTGAGATAGTGTTTGGCGCATGATTTTCAGGGTTTGCTGGACCTTCTCGAGAAGGAGTTGGATCCATAGAGAAAAAAAATGGTTTGGTTTAAAACACAATTTTATATAAATATAGTTTATATATGGCTCATGTTTCGAGACACCCTACGGTAATCAAACGCGGACATGGACAATCTGCCATTTATAGATAATGTGCCTTGCTATATTTCTAAAAATAATTTTAGGGTTTTGGCGTAAGTTGGGCCAAATTTAGACAAACCAGGCGCCCAGCCATCCCGTGTTTGACCCATATCATGTAGGTTTTGTGAGGTTTCGCCAGCAAAGAAGGAGTCAAACAACAAACAACGGGAGCTTCTCAAACAAAAACGGCGACGTGATCAGCCACACATTGATGTTACATCAATAAATAGCAGATGGTGAAACATTCCTGGTACTTTTTTTTTGCACCATGATATATTCCATGGTAAACAATCAGCCCAGCAACGACCCTTTGAGCAACTTTCTTTGCGGATCCAGACGCGGTTTCGCAGGGTGATTGTGGTTTGAACATGTTTTTAATTCATGTGAAAAAAAGGTAAATCATTTTGGCCAAAATCATCCCAGAGAAAGGATCAAATATGACAAACGCCTAAATTTGTTTAAACATGTTTAAACCACAAACTGTTCATATTCATGCAAATGGTTCATTGATAGTTGAATTGAATTGATTACCCCCTGGTAATCTAACAAAACAGTGGAACATCACCATTTTAGGTAAATCATCGAACTAAATGGGTGTATACCATAGCTAGAGTATGTTACATGACCAAAGGGTCAGCTACAGTATTGTCCAAACCCTTGAGAGTTTAACGAATGCAAACTCCATGGGGAAACTCGTCAGTTCTGTTCGTTGCCCATCTCCGGTTTCTGTCCACCCTTCAGATTCTGGGGATCGCGTCTATGTTGACTTTGATGTCATGAGGAAATGAGTGAGATAAGAGCGTAATCTTAATATGGCCATGGCAGCCCCTAAAACATCAAAAGGATGGAAAACCAACTAATCACTATGCAACCTGTGCGCAGTAGTTTCAGTGTTTGCATCATTATTTTCCACAATGTTCAAGCCTCCAGGCACCCAAGCTACAACCCTACGTGTTTGCCGAGAAACCGTGACCCCGGCCAAAAAGGTGCCATGTCCTCCGACCACATGAGCGAAAACTGGAATGGGGAAAACCAGGGAAAGTGATCTACATGATCTACAGTAGCGTATGGAGCATTTGTTCAAAAATATTGATATCCTACCCAAGATTAGTGCCCACTACAAACTGACAATTGTCAGGGTCTATGTTCATTTTCCGGAGGGTTTAAGTAGTGGCAGTGTCATATATATATATATGTATACTTGTAAAACATTACATCAGTTTCATTAGTAACATAACATATATATATAATACAATATATCTATCTGTCTATCTATCTATCTATCTACCTATCTACCTATCTACCTATCTATCTATCTATCTATCCATCCATCTATCTATCTAATGTATCTAATGTATCTATCTATCTAGCTACCTACCTATCTATCTATCTACCTATCCATCTATCTACCTATCTATCTATCTATCTGTCTATCTATCTATCTATCCATCTATCCATCCAGGTGTGTGTTAAAGTGGTGGTATCTAAAGTGGTGCTCCTCCAAACACTGGATACCAAAATTCCAGAAGACCTGGAAACATGCAAAAAAATAACCCGTGCACTGGACATGTTTCCTTTATTAATCCAAGGTCACAACAGTGTTCTCGTCAAACGTGTTTCTCGAATCTCTGACTTGGATGGTCTGGGAAATTCATCTACCATTCTCAAAGCTTCAAAGCCGTGAAGTACACATGTTGAAAACGCCAGATGGCTTTTGAGGGCAAGACTAAATCTTAACTTCATCTCAAAGCCAGTTGTCAAATTAGCACTATGTCAGCCAGACCATAGCTTATTCTAACTTTTCTTAAGACTTGAAAAGAAGCGCGAAAACAAGGAAAAACCAAAAAGCAAATCAGCAAAATCCAAAAAACACAAAAGAAAAATAGAAGGGAAAACAGGGAAAACAATGAAAAACAAAAAGGGGATAAAATGGGAAACATGGACTTGTCCATTTGCATTTTTTTTTGCTTTTTCGATTTGCTTTTTGTTTGCTTTTTGTTTGCTTTTTTTTGTTTTACTTTTTTGCATTTTGCTTCCTGTTTTTTTCAGTTTTGAAGTTCTGCTTTTTGATTTTCCATTTGCTTTCTTTTTTTTTGGCTTTTTTTTCAAATTTAAAAATCATTTGAATAAGCTATAGAGGTGAACATAAAATGAGCATTTCAATTGACATCTCCCGGTCTCGCAGGCCCATGTGACACGAGTTTCTCCGTTTATTCGCCCGGCAAGTCTGCGTTCTCATGTGCACCGTCAAGATTTGCCAGCTGCACTGGATGCCCTTGCCGATGCCGCCGAACAAGAATCTGGCATGCATGCTGGTCAATGAACTGAGGCAGTTCCAGCCGGCTACATGAGGTTCTCCACAATGTGCCATGTGGATTAATTAGCTGTCTGAAACTGATGGCGACTTTTTGCTGCATGTTGTTCTTTACGGCAAATTGAAAACATGAAAACATGTGGTAAAGCTGGAACAAAGTGTTTGGTGAGTTGGCCCCACAGTCCTGTGGCTCTGACGCATCTTTGATTTTTTTGCACCAAGTCTTGCAAGTTGTTGCCATGCCGTTACTGCACGTCCGCTGTCAACACCTCCACATTTTTTGTCCTGTGGAGCCCAGCGAAGCCAAGCTATCGATTTCATCTCAGTTCGGCATAAATGTAGAAGCAAGCATCGAACGTGAGGCTATGCCTGTGGCACGGTCTCAGAACAGACTTTCAAACATCATTGTCAATTGCCGTCAACCTTTTGAAGCCACGAAATTCGCAAGGCAATCAATGAACAGAAAAACATGTGCAATAATAGTTCAAGGCACAAAGAACCAACACGGAGAGAAGATAGACCCAAGAGATGCGACACCAAGACTCCCCTTCTCGAAAGGCTCAAAGTCTTGCCGCCGCTGCCTCCCAGGTATATTGCTCCATTTGTCCAGTCAGCAGTCAAGTCGGTGGAAGCTGGGTCCTTGTCAGCATCGTGCCAATCACGAGCATCATAGCCAGGTTGAGACTGCCAATTACGTTGCCATTCGAAACTCGGCCAGTCGCGGCTCTGCCAGCCGTGGCTCTGCCAATCGCCGGCGTCATGCCAGCGGTCACCATGGTCTGCCACGTGCCGGTCCACCAGCGCGACATGCTGCAGTCGGCGCAAAAATGCCAGGGAACCGTCAAGAGCCAAAATGCTCCGGTAGAAACTTATTTTGAACGGAATGTTGATCTATGTCTTTGTCTTTGTGATTCTGTGTTCCAGTCCTCCAGGCAAAGAAGCTACAAACTTTGATGCTGGAGGCCAGCAGGTTTAGGAACAAGAAATGTGGAAGGCTGCTCAATGGATTTCTGCGACATGACAATGGAAAAATGAATTGGCATACATCAAGCCCCTGTTCAAAAAAGTGCCTGAGAGCTGAGGTATCGGTCACTGATGATGCTGAGACACGGGCCGGATGGTTTGCCATGCGGAGAGTGGGAATGAGGCCATCAGTACGAAAGTAAGGCCCGAAGTCAGCCGCGGACCCCGGTCCAAACTCAAGCATGCCAGGGACACCCGATGCTCTTGCAGAATGTGCTTGTACATGAGCAAGTTCACTTTGAGATGGGCGCTCAACGTGTCCTCCTGAAAGGGGTCAATGCCTGGATGCAAAACATCGAGAAAAGTCCGAGCAGGGCAAGCAAAAAGCAAGCATGGCTCTCGAGGAAGTTCCCGGGTGTGCATGGCATTGACCCTCACTGTGCACAGCCTTCTTCGATGCTGAGGGCACAGAAACTGCGAGGCATCCAAGTGCCTCAGGTGTCCATACATGATGTGCCCTCCATATGAGCGTCAAGATTCCCTTATATAAAGAGTTTTGAGTTAAGGTATTGTGATGGACGTCCGCACCTGGGTAAACGAATGTCTAGTTCTTAATGTACACACTGAAGGTAGAGAAGAGAAGAGAAGAGAAGAGAAGAGAAGAGAAGAAAAGAGAAGAGAAGAGAAGAGAAGAGAGGACAGGAGAGGAGAGGAGAGGAGAGGAGAAGAGAGGAGAAGAGAAGAGAAGAGAGAGAAGAGAAGAGAAGAGATGAAAAGAGAAGAGAAGAGAAGAAAAGAGAAGAGAAGAGAGATAAGAGAGACAAGAGAGATAAGAGATAAGAGATAAAAGATAAGAGATAAGAGAGAAGAGAGAAGAGGAGAGGAGAGGAGAGAAGAGGAGAGAAGAGGAGAGAAGAGGAGAGGAGAGAAGAGAAGAGAAGAGATGAGAAGAGAAGAGAGAAGAGAGATAAGAGAGACAAGAGAGATAAGAGAGATAAGAGAGATAAGAGAGATAAGAGAGATAAGAGAGATAAGAGAAGAGAGGAGAGGAGAGGAGATAAGAGAAGAGAAGAGAAGAAAAGAAAAGAGAAGAAAAGAAAAGAGAAAAGAGAAGAGAGAAAAGAGATAAGAGATAAGAGAAGAGGAGAGAAGAGATGAGATGAGAAGAGCAGAGAAGAGAAGAGAAGAGAAGAGAGAAGAGAGAAGAGAGAAGAGAGAAGAGAGAAGAGAAGAGAAGAGCAGAGAAGAGCAGAGAAGAGCAGAAAAGAGAAGAGAAGAGAAGAGAAGACAAGAGAAGAGAGAAGAGAGAAGAGAGAAGAGAGAAGAGAGAAGAGAGAAGAGAAGAGAAGAGCAGAGAAGAGCAGAGAAGAGCAGAAAAGAGAAGAGAAGAGAAGAGAAGACAAGAGAAGAGAAGAGAGGAGAGGAGAGGAGAGGGGAGGAGAGGAGAGGAGAGGAGAGGAGAGAAGAGAAGAGAAGAGCAGAGAAGAGAAGCGAAGAGAAGAGAAGAGAAGAGAAGAAAAGAGAGAAGAAGAGCAGAGCAGAGCAGAGAAGAGAAGAGAAGAGGAGAGCAAAGAAGAGAAGAGAGAAGAGAAGAGCAGAGAAGAGAAGAGAGAAGAAAAGAGCAGAGAAGAGAAGAGAGAAGAGAAGAGAAGAGAAGAGTAGAGAAGAGAAGAGAAGAGAAGATAAGAGAAGAGAAGATATATCATCAGCATCATCATGATCATCATCAAGCATCATCATCCATAGCGCTCGCGTGACGTAACGCTGTCGTGCCGCAAAGCATGCATACTTCTTATACTCCCGTGTCCTTTTCAAAGCGGCAGCAGGCCATGTACAATGTGAGGTAATCTATACTATATTCGTCGTTTTTGGTTTGCAGTAGTACGACCCGGCACTGCATTGAATCCAGACTAGATGCCCATGAATCTTGCCAATCCAGTCTGGCAGCGGGAACCCTTCCATGGCCCGAGAATCGAAGAGTCGGAGCTAGTTGCTAATGAAGTTGATTGTTGGTGCGTGTTGGTTTTTCAGATTGGATTTGCCAAAAAGTACATCAATTGGCCGGCCATGATTCTTTGCAGCTCGAGGTGCTCCAAATCAAAACATGTTAGCCTTCCCGCACTTGTTGAAGAGTTGCGTATGTCTCAAACCAGTTTCAAAAAACATATTGCATCCCGGTCCCATCAGTGTCGTAGCCTACAGAAGTGAAAGGAAACGGTCACCTCACGGCGTGCAGCTGTTTTATATCAGACATGGAAGACATGTGAATGCCGGAACGTTTCTGGAATTTTCCTTTGCTGCCACTTGGCTTCCGCCGCTAAAGCAATCAAATGATATACACTCTGGTAATTTAACATAGCTATTGAAAATGACCATTTATAGTGGATTTACCCATTAAAAAAGGGTGGATCTTTCCATAGTTTAGTGTTAGTTTACCAGTTTACCAGAGGGTATATGGGGTCTATGGTTCTCAACTTTGCTAACTCAAAGTCTCTCTCTCCTTCCGAGACGGCGGTTTTGGCACCCACGTCCGCGGCGACCTTGAGGACATCTCTCCGGGGGGGAGTTCATTGAATTCCGAACTTTGGATGGCTAAACATGGCTAAACCACGCAACACAAACTGTAAAAAAAATATCGAACTGGTAAAATAATGTAAAATAGCATCAACAAATCGGATTCAGACAGGGATCTCCGCAACTGAAACAAAATAAGCCAAATATGTAGCCAACCAACATTTGGATTGAAGCAAGCCGAAAGATGTTCTGATTGGTGGCTGAGCCACGCTACCCATCCCGACAAGATAGACCACAACAACTGGCTGGAAAGGAGACTTGATCAACAGGGATCTGACAAAAGCATGAAAAAACACATGACAAAACTTGGTACAAAACAAAGCTGTGAAATCCTGTGAACCTTTCAGCTACCAAACATAGCCAAACATCGGAAACGTATCTCTAAGCAACATGAGGATTCCAGATGTCCATGGAGCAATTGACGTCCCTGCGTCCACACCACCACTGGACGTCCAGGAATTTGTAGATTCAAAAATTATGAAGGATTTTCCCATATATGGAAAATCAAATTCCTGTTCCAAACCACCAACCAGGTAAAAATCACTAGCTCTTAAGCAATGACAGGTCACCTCACACGGATGGAAATCTCAGGCAAAAAACCAACTAATCAAATCAAGCCGTGCTAAGGGGTTATGCGTATAATATGTATACCCTCTGGTTATGACTAACATAGCCATGGTATAGATGGCCCATAAAAATAGATGGTTTACCATGGTGATTTTCCATGGCTATGTTAAATAACCAGATGGCATATCTATATATATATATGTAGATGATGTAATATATATATATGTATTAAACAATCACCAGCCCCACAATGGATTGTGATAATCCCCAATTAATATTGGAGAGTAAAAAATGTCGTCTATACCAATCAACCTACAGAAGTTTCAAACATTGCCCAATATGATCCTTATCATTGATTACCTTTGAAGGGTACCCCTTCGATTTCCTGGAGAGCCCCGGTAATCTTGGGCTTTTTGCGATGGTGTTGTTCACATCTTCCGAGGACAAAGACGTGCTGCCAGCCCGCCTAAGCAGCACTGATCCCCAGAATGGATATGGGTCAAAATTAAAGACATGGTGAACCATAGATTAAAGTCAATTTCTACAGTTATGGCCATGGCTACCAGTTATAACTGGTGATTTCTATGGGATTATACATTCTATAAATGGGGTTTTGTTAGTACTTATAACTGATAAATGGCCATAACTGTAATATTAATCATCGGTATTCAACTTGTTTGTTGCCAAAACAGACAATCACCTTCCCATTGAAATGGCAGCCCCAATACTTGTTGTCCTATGTTGTTTTATGGTTGTTGTTGCTCGTTATTTTTCTTCCTTGGGACCCTACCATGGAAACTCAGTGTTTTGCCCTTCGGGACCTGGTACGAGATTTTCCAGGGTACAAACATGCGACCGTCTTGCCACAATCATACAGGCACGTATAGGCTGTCCTCGACACGAGGGTCCCACATGTCTGCCACACAAGCATGATAGATGTTGAATTAGACGAAACCCCATTGCCAACGCGACATCTCCCCTGTCATGGTGATCCATGATATATCATGATATGATATATAGGCAATGTTTTGAACCATTATCAACATATCATTCATACCAGGAAAAATCCCATACTGTGGGATTTACCCAAATGCCATACACAACTCGACCATGTCTTTTGGATGGTTTAGAACACCCATGTATGAACATGTACGGTGATGAGGATGGTTTATGGCATTGGCTTTACCACATGAATCATCATTAAAAACAAGCATCATTCACCATTACTAACCGTTGTTTACCATGTTTAACATTTCTTAATCATCATCAACCATGATTATTCATCATCAACCATCATTAACCATCATGAACCATTGATTTTCCATAAATCCTTGAATAAAATCACGCAGACATGCCCAACTCCCCCGGGTTCCCTGCAGGCTGGTGCTGGGTGCAGGAGTTGTCTCCTGGATGGGCTGAGATCCCGAAAACAAAACCAGGGTCAATTTCCAGTAACTTTTAGGGGGTCCAAAAGGTCATCCCAATTAATTATAGTTACTACATATATATATATATATATATATATAGATATAGATATAGATATTAAACTATAGATATACCAACTAGATATATCATCGACTAGAGATATCTATAGATACTAAACCATAGATATACCTCCCATAAAAATCCATAAACCCTAGTTACATAGATGAATCTTAGATACCTCCCAAGACAACAGTACATTTTTTAGCTGGTGAATGGACAAATTTTACCATTGATAGCAAAAGATGAGAGTACGAAAGTATCTAAGCAAGGTTGACCCAGTATGGTAATGCCATGTTTAGATCAATCCTGTAGAATGATCAATGGCAGAGCCCTTCATACCATGTGCCACTCTGATAAAAACAACAACTCCTCATGAATTGACACACACACAAAAAAAAAGGTACGATACCATGCGATAACAAGATATATAAGATATATTTCAGTTCTACACATTACTCATCATTACTCGTTTGTCCTCTGTGTTTGTCATCCACACGCTCCCAAGATAGCAATGGATGCACTGATGGGTCTCTTCCCAAAACCGCCTGCGGTCCTTGGCACCAGCGGCACCATTCGCACTTTGGGCGGCCAAAGCCTCACGGCAACGGCTTCGGACGAACTTTTAGGGTTTCTGGGCTTTGGGATTTTCTGGGTCTTAATATTGATAAGATACCATCTGGTTATTTAACATAGCCATGGAAAATCACCATTTGTAATAGGTAAACCATCTATTTCCATGGGCCATTTTCCATGGCTATGTTAAATAAGCAGAGGGTATGGTTTACATCAATATAACTTATACAATATGTATATGCATGTACAGCATGTATTGATTTCTTGATCATGCTGATACTGTACAAAATGGTTGACACATGGTTACAAACCTCTTTTGATAAGGATTGAATCAACATACAATATGGTTAGAATATGATGCACTCACTTACTGGGTAGTAAAATCATAAGGCAACCATGGAAAATTGAGCTGATCAGGTTCACCCCTAGCGAACACGAATATAATTTCTATTGATTTGCGTTATAGTCCAGACTCATCCAACATGGCAGATATAGACTACAGACATGGCTTCTGCTATTTATATCTATTTATACTTTTGAAAGCAAGAACTAGCACCTCAAAATTAATGATGGCATGACCTTGAGGCGAAAGTCATGCGACCAACTCCTCTGCGCATCTACTGACACGGGGTACAAGGGGGGCACCTCGGAATCCATCGTATTTGAAAAAAGGGAAAGCAGCTTGGGTTGTTGTCGTTTTTTTCCCACCCGTTCTTGCTATTAAAAAAAACCTTTCGGGTCAGGTCACAGTTTTCAAGGATTGGGTGCTTCTCGATCCAGTCCGAGCAGCAATGGACATTTACAGCAAACCGCCCAAAGTGTCGAAGCACAACTGTTCTGTGCAACTCGTTCACATGTGTGAAGCCAGTCAGGCGGGTTGCTTGGTTCATTCCAAGGATGTCGCCAACATCCGCTGTGAAGAGTGGGTCATTTGAAAGGCTCCAGATGGTTATCCTGCACCAAATCACCACCGCTTTGAGTGCTCCATGCTCCATCCCTTGACCGGAACCGTCAAAGAACCTTCCTTTGCAGGAGGTCCAATGACACTGGCCTTGCCCGTCATCGTGGCCACGGCAACCTCGGGATCCACCAATTCAATAGGTCTCGGTGAGGATTTATAGGTCACAGTAGGGGAGACAAGCCCATAGACCTGGGAGAGAATCGAACGACACCTACGCCACCTACGCCAACCCCGAAATTGATAAAAAACAGTTGAACAAACAACTGCATGGATATCATAAGATACACATACATAAACTAGTAAACAGCAACCAGTACCAGAAAAAACACTTGAAGAAAGGTAAGGTCAACGCTGAATTCATAAAACCCTCAACTGTTTAATTGGGATATTAATGACAGATCCCATAATTCAAAATCCCCAGAAGAATCATCCGCCAGTGCCACGCCTGAAACCATGGGATCTCCAAAACCCTGGTTGTTTCAATACTCATATGGTCTAAATGTTGGATTTGGGGATAACACCCATACAGTAGTTGGACAGCTCCATATTTTTGTTTACAATGTCTGGCATCATCAATGGCTCTATACTAACTGGTACTAACTTCATCATCCGTCAGAGAAAGCGCCTGAAAGACCATCATGGCGCTCTGTAATTTCCATTCCTTCTCTTTGCGAACCCACCTGAAAAACCAGCCAATCAGCCAGGGATCGGGGCCGATGGGCGATTTGAACCAACCTAAACATTCGGCTATTTGCGGATAGTTACTATATATGAACAAACTGTTTGTTGGCGACCAAAAGCATTGAATAGATATGCAATTTGCATTTTACCACCCAAAAAAAGGTGGATTGATGTGGATTGAAATAATTGAACAAAGAAACATGACCTTGCCAATCAAAACTATTGGTGCACAAATGAACCATTGTCATTTTGTCACCAGAACAAAGGGGACGATCCGGTAGCTTCCTCGCCAGTGTAGCCTGTCCTTATTTGCAGGATCTAGGACCTCAAATATTCATGGCCAATCTTTGATACCCTTTATTCCCTTTATTTATACTGGGTAGTAAACAATATATCCCCATTTATGGCAAGCGATTAAAGTACGTATAGCTACCTCAAAAAAAAACGAACAAGTAAAATCCGAGTCCAACAAAATATGAGAAACTGAATCTCGGATTAAACCCGTGTGGGGTAGCTCAAAACAATCCAAGTCTTTCACCCAAAATGAGAAACTGGACCCTCACTGAATCTTTCTTGGTGATTCAAGACTTCTTTGGAAGTCGTGTGGAAGCTACCCACCCAGATGATCTCCACCTACGCAGTACCATGCCCAGCTGCAAGCAACATGGTGGTTTTGCAGTCACGTCATGTTTCTTGGTTAAATCCCAAGTTGTGATGGAGTTAGATCATTGAAAAACATGTCATTGTTGTTGGTTCACTTAAATCACCAGGTGAAAAATGGGTCAAGTTACCCGGTTAGCTTTTGTTGCTTGTCAAAACCAATTAAAGGTTTCCTGAAATGGGGGTTCCCCATGGTTCCCCTAAATCATCCATAATTTGAATAGGATTTTCCATTATAAGCCCAGCATTTTGGGGATCCCACATTGATGGAACTTAAACGTTTAAGGCATCACCGTTGCCCGGGTCAGCCCCATCTCGGCTCCCAACATCTCGGACAACATCTGTCCCTTGACCTGTTGGAAGCACAGTGGTTACTTGTGGCTAGCTTTCATGCTCCATGTGTGTTTGAATATGGTGCATACATAGGTAATTTTAGATACATACGTATGTATGTATATATGTTATATATAAAAATTACATATGTATGTATGTGTATATCATCTCGAGAAGAGGACTAAAGCATATGATGTGTCATTCATATTTCTCGGAGATTTATGGATCTGTGGGTGTGTCTGAAAATGGAGGCTTACATACGTATGTTTACCTCTCAATAGTTTTCATACGTTTTCATGAGCATTTCGTCATAGAGAAAAATAGGTGTTTTCAAAGTAGTGGATTTGCGGATGCCCAATTTCTTGGACAAAGGGCCCTATGCTACATGGTGCTGGTAATTTACCTACATGGCTGGGCCATGTTTGGTGTAAATGGTGGCAAATATATGGGAAACTTCCACATGCATGGAACATCTTGGCACTACTATCTTGACCGGGGAATGTCGAACCATGAGCAAAAAATGATTGTATCTGCGGAGGTGCGCACAACAAACCTGAGTATAGACACATCATCTGTGTTGGGGATGTAAGCAGGATATATAATATCAGAAACATAAAATAGAGGACCGCAACAAGCCTTCATGAATGTCCTGTCCATCCTTTCATCATTCAAAAAACTACATTTCAACATATATCCCAGGCATTTTCCCAGGAGTTTACCTAGGATCAGCCCATTTTCCACGGAAAAAAACAGGTTCATATTGCTCACTTTCTAAGTGGGATGATCCTCTAGGCTTAGACCAACTCGGAGTGGATGAGTCTCACAGTTTTTTCTTGGCCTCTGAATTCAACAAGTACTTGAAATCACCTGCTTCCTGAACTTTTCCAGACAGAACGGCTGCTTTCACCTGAAATCTACATCAATTTCCTGTAAATGACGAGGTGGAGCAATTAAACGATAACCCTTTTCGCCAAAAAAAAAATATGCCAATTTTCTCTGGTTGGTGGTATACCTACCCCTCTGAAAAATGATGGAGTTCGTCAGTTGGGATGATGAAATTCCCAACTGAATGGAAAAATAAAATTCATGTTCCAACCACCAACCAGTTTTCCATATATTTTCATACATGTTCCATAAACCATAGATATCCCACAGATTTTCCATATTTTTCCCCATATTTTCCCATATATTTTTCCTAAATCCGGCGCCCTCGCCTCTCCGAGATCGGACTTGAAACTAAACGGGCCCGAGACCTACGCTGCAGGGTTTCAAGGTGGGGCCCTGGTCTACGATAGCCAAGTTGGAGCAATGAACTTGGTGAGGGTTGATTAGTAACCCAATCACTCACCATTTCTTATAGTTTTGGTTATGGTTGTTGTTCTGAACATATTTTTCTGTGCTTAAAAGAAATAAATAAACCATCATTGATTAGGGGGATATAACATGATATAAATACATGTAGTATTCATGGTGAACCCACCCATGCCGACCCATGGAATGGCATGCCAAAAGATGCCTTCTGTTCAGGACAGCACACAAGGGTAGAAATGGACCATGAACTTTACCAATTTGGCCCATGAATCATCATTAATGATAGTAAAGTTGCGCAATTGCCCTTTGTCATCATAAATAAAAGGTAAGTAACCATCAAAAGTAATCATAAATCAATAGAAATCAATAAAAATCAATAGAAATCAATAGAAATCCCATAGAAATGCCATGGAAATCCCATGGACATCCCATGGAAATCCCATAGAAATCACATAGAAATCCATAGAAATCCCATGGAAGTCCCATAGAAATCAATAGAAATCATCATCAATGGCCCATAGATATCATCATAAATCACAGATATCATGGGTCCTTGATTTTGACCAAACACCCTCTGGTGAGGTATGGTTGAAATACCCGGCCTGGTAAATATACAAAAAACTATGGAACATGGCCCAGTCGAAATAGTTGATTTACCCATTAAACATGGGTGGATCTTTCCAGATGGTATGTTTACCAGAGGGTATGTTAAAACTTTGGATCTGATATGATGGATCACCTCCTTGACGATCAGAACTCAGATCATTTCTGCAGAAAATGTAAGGCCTTGCCGTCTGGCTTTGTGATGATGAAAGAGCACCTAAATAACTATAGATTGATTTCCAAGTTGAATAACAGTATGACTCAAGATCAAGATTGCAAATCCACACGTAGCCAACAGTGATAATGCAAAAGCGAGCTTTGAAAAATGGCTTAAAACACATATCTAACACTATCTAACTATACTTAAAATCCCAAACCCACTCACAATGACCACAAACCCAACAGTTATTCCAGAAATCAACCGGAAAGGGATGCCGCACCACGACTGTATCATCGTTGACCACCATGGCGGTGGATGCATACCTGGCTGAATGACCGGTTGACCCTTGAAGTACCCATCAAAATGAGTCACGTTATTCAATTTTAGCTGGTTGGTGGTTGAGCCACCCCTCTGAAAAATATGAGTCAGTTGGGATGATGAAATTCCCAATATATATATATATATATACGAGGGTTTAATTCCCCCACCCCCGGTAAACTTCTACATTCATTGAAGATCTTCAATAAGGGTTTAATTCTCCCACCCCTTTTAAACTTCTACATTCATTGAAGATCTTCAATAAGGGTTTATTCTCCCACCCCTTTTAAACTTCTACATTCATTGAAGATATCCAACAAGGGTTTAATTCTCCCACTCCCGTTAAACTTCTACATTCATTGAAGATCTTCAATAAGGGTTTAATTCTCCCACCCCCGTTAAACTTCTACATTCATTGAAGATCTTCAATAAGGGTTTAATTCTCCCACCCCCGTTAAACTTCTACATTCATTGAAGATCTTCAATAAGGGTTTAATTCTCCCACCCCCGTTAAACTTCTACATTCATTGAAGATCTTCAATAAGGGTTTAATTCTCCCACCCCCGTTAAACTTCTACATTCATTGAAGATCTTCAATAAGGGTTTAATTCTCCCACCCCCGTTAAACTTCTACATTCATTGAAGATCTTCAATAAGGGTTTAATTCTCCCACCCCCGTTAAACTTCTACATTCATTGAAGATCTTCAATAAGGGTTTAATTCTCCCACCCCCGTTAAACTTCTACATTCATTGAAGATCTCAATAAGGGTTTAATTCTGTTAAACTTCTACATCATTGAAGTCAATAAGGGTTTAATTCTCCCACCCCCGTTAAACTTCTACATTCATTGAAGATCGTCAATAAGGGTTTGATGATGTTGATGATGATGATGATTATGTTGATGAACATGATGTTGGTGATGATGATGATGATGATGCGTCGCCCGTCGTCATTGCGGGTCCGGGCAAAACCCAGGCATTTGCCGTTATACGCGCAACGTAGTTATATATATATATATGTTATATGCATCCGAAATTGGTCCAATTCCCAGTGGAACTGCCCGGGCTTGAAGCCGCCAGAAGTTCCATGAAGGAGAAGAGAACCACGGTGAGGTCCAACCAGTTCCTGGGCTCTCAGTCGGCCATCAAGTGGGAATCTACTAGCTGGGTGGTCGAGCCCTATACCGCTGAAAAATATGAGGGTGGTTTTGGGATGGTTATTCCAGGTATTTCATACTTACTACCTCGGGAAAGGTTCTCCTTGGCCCGCCCCGGCCATTTCAACATACGGGATCCACCTCAGTTAAACATACGTTAAATACAATCGCTTTACCAGGGGTGGAGAAATTCAGGCAAAAATGGGGGTATCATTGTTGTAGATTAGCAGATAAATAACAGGCTGATGGCATGTCTGATTGACGCATGGAGACACATTCACCTTCCCTCCCTCCATTGCATTCGGGAGATAAAAAATTCGCCCGTCCTCTTATCAGAACAGTTTGTTGCAGGGGATGAACAAGGGATCACCGCCTTGAGGCGGGTGTGGGTTTTCTACAATTGTGCACTTGGTGATTGAATAAAAAATCACCATTTTACACTGTAATTTACAGTATTTTATGCTTTTGATCTATGATGTTTTGAGGTTTGCTGCAAAATGTCAAAATGTCAAAAAAAAACTTTGGGAATTCCGCAACATCTGCTTGAGGTTCAATGCATTTTTTTCAGTGCTCTTTCAGTCGGCATTCTTCGTTTTGAAGAGCTGGCCCAAAGCCTGGATGTATTGATGCTGGTGTGCAAATCTAAATTGCCATGATCTCACATAGATCATCAGCTTTTTATTGAGGCGTCCTCTGTACAACGTCTTCACAGTCTTTGGAATCCATGACTGCATACTTTTCCAACGGGAATCAGCTATCTGAGTTCCTATGTTTCGACCTCTGAGAAATTCTTGACGACGATGGCTCACCTGCTTAATACGAAAACCTTTTCTCATCTCTTTGGAAACCTTTGGCCATGCCAAAGCACCATCCGAGTATAACATGGTGTTTTTCTGTATTCTATCCAACAAACAGCTTTGCCTCACATCATCTGCAGACTCAACTGGTGGCCTAGAAGCAGGAAGTTGAAGGCGTGGCTCCATAGCCTCGAGCAAACACTTCGAAGTCGAACGTTCGAATGCACCAAGTAGACCATAGTGAAGAATGAAATTCTTGGCCTTCTGGCATTTTGCCTGGTTGGAAAAGTTACCATTCGGACTGCTTGAGAGAAAAGGAGGAGTTCAAACTGTAAAGATAAAAGAAAAGATGAAGAAAAAATTACCATTGCGTGCAAAGTGCTGGATGTTTTGCAGTCAAAGCACGAACCTGTGGCAGAAACTTGGTAGTCTTTTTCGAAACCCATGCTGTGCGGACTTTGTGTCCATCCAACTCGACCTCCTTCCGAAGCCGCATGCTGTAGTTGAGTTCAGCACCAGCTTTCGCTTCCATCTCTCGAAGGCACGTGTACAAACGAGCAATGGGTTTCTCACTGCATCCAATCGTCTGAGCAACGGCCAATGGACTCACACACTTGGTAGCAGCACAGTAGGAACGAATGGCAACCAACAAGCCCGTGGCGGAAAGACCCCGTCCAAGACTTTGAGGTAGTCCATAGCTATGGTTCAAAGCAGTGATCCTTTTTCTACAATACGCCCATTTGCAACGATACTCCACAGTCTTCCCTTTGTTGTCAGCTTGATACAGATTGTATCTCTTGCAAAAAGGACATCTTTGCGGTGCTTTCAAAAAGCCTATTTTTTGAAGCTCCTTGACTGCATTCTGTTCATCTCCCTTGAGATGCTCCTGCTTTCTTCTCTTCTCACGTCTAACCTTGTCGTCTTGCAAGCGTTTCCTTTTACCTGAGTATGTGTCCTTTGCCTTTTTTTTCCTGTCACCAAATTTTTGTCTTCTGGGTCTAGTCTTTCCTTTGCGACCAGTTTGCTTGGAATTCAATCTCTGGTCATCTTTGTAAATGGCCAACAGCTTTCTATAGCGAGCAGCACCGGGAGCTTCGCACCGAAGAACATTGTGACCTTTGCGGCCACAAAGGCTACATTGATGTAGCTGCTTGGTCGGACGAGCGGGCATTGCTCCGAAGCAGCTTCGATGATGGATACATGTTTAGAAGCAACATGGCATGATGCAAAATGGCAAGTTAGCACGATGGCAAGACAAGTAACTTAAAACTATGACACCACAAGTTCAACTATACAATCGCAGCGTCCTTTTAGACCAGCCGTCAAGCTCCATTTGTGTTCAGTTCAAAAGTCCTTCTCATCTTTGAGCTATCGAACGCTATACCATTGGCAATCTCAACACAATTGAAAGAAGCCCACACGCCAGCAGCTTCATCGACATCTTCCCAAGTCATGCCAGCCGAATCCTGCATCTGCTCAAGCGTGATCCAAGGGTGAGGAAGAAACCCACGTAATGATAGCTCCAGCAACGTGTCCATAAACCTAGGATTGACTTCAGAGAACAAGCCATATAAACGATAGCGGCCTTCAAACTTCCTCCGTTTTTTTTGGGTGGAAAAAAGGGACATAAGAGAAAAAATCTCACGAAGACACCTGTCATAGTGAGCTCCCGTGTGATCCATTGCAGCCCCATAATTTTCAGGCACTTGAACAGTTGTAGCTACTTCAGGAGGAGGTTGCCAAGCTCCACGTGCTCGGACAGACGCAGCAGTTTCGTAAGGGCCTGAAGACAAAGTGGACGGCAAAGTCATCTGTTGAAAGCGGCTCAAGTCTACAGAAACAGTGTGCACCACCGAAGGTTCACGAGCACGAACTGGGCCCCACAAACGAATCTTCTCGCGATGCAACATATTGGCCCGAATGCTTTTCCGAAACGAATCTGCTCTTTGGAAGTCACCATTCACTGTCAAAGTTTCTGCTTCACGAAATCCAAGTCGCTGAATGGCTTCCAAGGCTCTGCGTTCCAAGCCTGCCTTGGTTTGTGCGTGAGTCACCATTCCTGCACGTTCAATGACAGCGCGGCAAAATCTCTCATGAGCATCATTCGTGGCAAAGACAGGCACGTGCAACATCGGCAGCAAGCGTTCTTTCAAAGGTTTGCAGCACCAGATAACTGGAATATCCTTCAGGGCAATTCAAGCAAAAATGAACGAGATGTCTACGAAATCATTCAATGTTCTCAATGCGTTCAAGATGCAATGGCTCCAAAATCTCGTGCCAACGTAGCAGCAGGAGAACCACGATCCATGTCGTCTAACTCGCTTTCCGTTGCAGCGGGCACATGATCCGTGGGCACTGCAAGCGCAACTGTGACCGTGGCCTCCTCTGCAGTCTCATGAGCAGGTGCAACGGTAGCCAAGGTTGCACCAGCTTCAGGAGAAGAGGTCCTGAATCTTTCGTCAACTTGCTCTATTCATGTAAAACTTTTGCTGTAGTCATGTAGCTGCTTTTATTTACATATATATGTATATAAATATACATTTGAACATGAATACATAGTTAAAAATACCTTTTACACATATATATTGAAATATGTGTAATATATATATATATATATTTATTTACCAGCCATATATATATATATATATGTCAAACATAAGTGCTAACGAGACACCTAGAAGATACAGCCACTGGTGAATGCAACTGCAGAGACAACGCGTTGGAGTGCACTGACCATGGAGACCTGTTCGGAATCATCAAAAACATTTTACAAATCCTTTTAATGAGATTCTACAATCATACAGTCATAGAATGTACTTTTATCATCTTGGATCATGTATAACTCCCCAAAAAAGCTACTGAGGATGATATGTTCAAAAACAAGACATCATTAAGATAAAAAAATAAATGTTGTTAAAGACGCATTGAAACCCAGTCGCTGGAACCTTGCCAATGTCCTCCGCGGAGGTGTAACGGGATGACCGGACATCAAAAAAGAGCTGCGGAAAATGGCCATCATGACAAAAAAATACGATCCAATAAATCTGACCGACATCATGAGTTCATGACAAAAAAATAAAATCCAATAAAATCTGACCGACACCATGAGTTGGTGCGCGCATGAACCGACCTCAGACGCGTCAGAAAGGAACGTTATCATCCCCCCCCACCCCCCCCCACCCAGTCAAGGTAGCAAGACGTCAGCAACAACGTTCAGCAACGTGTCTTCCGAAGCGTCCCCTTACAGTCGAAAGGAACGTTATCATCCCCCCCCCCGGTCAAGGTAGCAAGACGTCAGCACCAACGTTCAGCAACGTATCTTCCGAAGCGTCCCCTTACAGTCGAAAGGAACGTTATCATCCCCCCCCCCACCCCCCCCCACCCGGTCAAGGTAGCAAGACGTCAGCAACAACGTTGAGCAACGTGTCTTCGGAAGCGTCCACTTACCGTCGGCAAGAGCGTTAAACCCGTATACTGACGAAAACGCACAAACGTGGAAATTACCACGCCCGCCTCGGGGCGTTGACCCCATGAACAACATCGACTTTCTCTTCATGGGGGACACCCACATTCGCCACAACATCGTCTTTTTTTGCCTCTGTGCTCAGCTTGTTTGCCGCGAAGCTGGTTTTGCGCCTGTCACCCCCCTCCCACCGGACGGCTTTGTGCTCGTCCGGTGGGAGGGGGGCCTGTGCGGCGACTTCTGTACTGCCACTGCCGTTTCGTTCCCCTTTGTCCTGCGGCGGGGCGTTTTGGCAGGGCGACAAGGTCATTCAGTTTATTGATCGGAAATTTCCAACGTCCGGCATCATTAGAAGATGTTAATACGCGTGGATTCTCATGTAAGGACACATTCTCATTCTCTCTCCGCTCTCCCTCTCTCTCTATACCTTCATCATCTCTAGATCCGTGCATTTTATATTATGAACTGGTCTTGCCAAGTATGAATTTGGAATGCGCAGTCTTGAAGTTGCACACCATTGCTTATAATTAAGTATAATGGTTTGAAATGCCGTTAGATGGAAGATGGAAAGTTGCCTTTAGCGAATAGTTATATTACTGATGTGGCTGGTGGTCTTCCCGGGCCCCAGCTGCACTCCCCGGCCTAGTCAGAGTCTTCGTCCACTGGGCTTTCCACGTCCACTGGCGGCCTTTGCAGGCGCGCGCGTAACTCGCCCACCAGGCGAGCCACCCTTCTGGGCCATGCCCTGGGGGCATGGTGCCGCCGCAGGTTCGTCAGGCAGCCGCGGGCCGCCCTGTGTACTCGCCTCTTCAGGCGCCGGACCCTCAGGAGCTCGTGCATCGTGCCGGTGACGATGTCCTTCGATGTGAATCAGATCAGGGCGGGTCCAATTTGAGGGGTCTAGAATTATACAGATAGGCATAGCTAGATCGTAGAAACATACACACACATAAAAATATATAAATAAATAAATATATATATATGTGTGTGTGTTGATATTTACATAATCAGTATATCTAATTACTGTAGGTGCGTAACCTTTTCCTTTTTTTTTCCCGATGTTTTCTGTTCTATTGCATCCATTGATCTTTCTGAACTAAGCGATGTCTCAATCCTGAGTGGCCGATCGTTATCATGTCTATTTATGAATATTGGATGTTGTTATTTTTAGACCCGATAAATTCTGTTCTCAAGTCGTTGTTCGAGGAAATGTATCGGGTCATCGGTGATCAACCTACCTGCTCAAGCAATCTATGATAGAATCAGGATATATATATATAGTTGATGGTGCATCATTCGCGCTATTTAAATAATTCTTTCGAGGCAGACTGATTGCTTTTTTTTGGGTCCTGGGCAGTCTGCTGTTCGCGCTGGGTCCAGCTCCGCGGTGGGCTTTGCAGACACTCTGCCCAGAGTTGGCTCACCCTTGTGCGGGAAAAGCCTTTGTTGCGAAGGCTTTGGCGGACTTCAGCCTCGCTGGCACACACCACCTTCAACCTGCAGAGTTCAAGTTGGGCTGGGCCGGGCATTCTTCAGGCGGGCGGAGAGAGCTGAGCAGAGAGAGCGGTTTTGGCTGGTCGTGGCTGCGGTTCCGCATTTGGGAAAATCACATTCAAGCCAGAAATCGAAGATGCCTATGTGAATGCTTTTTTTAACCGTTTGCAGCCAGGAAAATTGATAAGAACAGGTGCGTTCAGAAGCCACAAAGCCAGGAGCTAGTTTCACATATTCTTGCCTGCGCTTGAACACAGAGCAGAAAACAGTGAAACTAGCCAATTCCCCAGGGAAATGTGCCAAAATCACCCTGCAATCCTGATAGTACTAGCAAAGACACAGAATTTAGCCTGACCCAACGCAAAAACAACCCTGCACAGGGACCCACTCCCAGCCCTTTGTCGACGATACACAGATGATAAAAAACAAAACGACCTGTCATATCTACTGTTTCTAGAAAAAAAAGGTCTGATGCCAATAATTGACCCGATGGGAATTTATCTGGGCTTACTTGATCCCTCCAGCAACTTCATACTCATGAGTTATCAAAATTCGCTACTTCCTATGACCATTTTGTTAAGGGGGGCACCGACAGCGAATTTATTCTCATGAGGGATCAAAATTCGCCACGCTTTATAACGAATTTTGACGAGGGTAATAATATCAACTTAATCTTATCTTCACAACGGATCAAAAATTCGCCGCTGACGACATAAGGGGGGTTGAGACTCACGAATGAGATACAAACCCGAGTCTAATTATCAGAAACCCATAGTTGTGGCCGTGCATCAGTTACAAATACTTGTAACCCCATTTATGGAATGTATAATCCCATTTATACCCAGTTATAACTGGTTATAAAAGGCCATAGCTTCATGGATTATGATCATCCCCAACATATCAAACGTTGAAATGATTTGGGGATGTCAAAAATAGGGATTCCCATAAATCATCAATTTTTATGGTATTTTCCATTATAAACCCCCGGGGATCCGCAGGGCCAGCCACACGCCCTGCTGTGGTTGCATCACTGCCCCAGCCGCAGCCTCAGCAATGGAGGCATGCGGGCCACAAGGCCTTGGAATGAACGGGGTAGTAAAAATCAAATTATTAATCTACAAGACATATGAATGTCGGGACATATTCTATTTAATTGGTAGATCCATGTTAGGATCATGATGGCTGGTCATGTTTGCAGCCGGTATCTTTCATTTAGTAAATGGGTTTCAATCAAGGGTAGCCCTTTGAACATATCTTAGTGATTCTTTGTGGGGATTGGGTTGGTCATGAAATTATTACCACCCAAAAAATGTAACAAATTCTTGGGGAATAATGGCATATTTCCAAACCATCCTAGCTAGAGATCATTTGGGGGTACCCCCATTTATGGAACTTCCCCCTGATTTTCCACCATAAACCAGCCAGCTATTGGGGTACCCTCCGTGACTTAACCTCGGGCCAGGCCCTAGCCCTAGCCCGGGCTGAGACTTCGGACCCCAGATGCCCTTGACAGTCTTTGCAATGCAGGCCACAGGTTTTGCAAATCTTGCTACCTAAGGGTGCCAGAAGCACTGACATACTGCCGGATTCAGGCCAAACAAAGGACCCGGCAATGTGGACTGGGATCTCTTTGGAGCATGTCTCTGCACAATATATATATATATATGTATACTGTATATCAATAAATCTATATATATATATAATATATACTTGGCTCCACTTAACATAGTCAAATAATAAAATTGTGTTGAACGCATCTTTCCCCAAAAAATGTTGCAGGATGTTGCAGGTTCCAAGAAACTTTACAGATCCATCTTGTACAATCATCCGTGGTCTTCCATGGTCGATCTGGGAAAATATGCTGATGATCCAATTGGGCTAACCGGCTAACCGTCCATGATATTCCATGGTCTGCCGTGGTAATATATGCTAGGCTTAAGTACAACTGGTGATGCTCTAAGTGGTCTTATTATCCATTGTATTCCATGGTTGGTGTTGGAAATATGCCACAACGGATGTGGCTGAGAATGTTTGATAGGGATTTAATTGCCACCACTGGCTAGATATCTTATTATGATGTCTATATAAATATCCATCCGGTCCCAGATTAGAGACCCGCCCCTGGCTGACACCGCGGCCAACCACGCTACACCCAAGCTGCTCCAGTCCAGCCGGGGACCTTGGCCAGTGAGACGGGGAACTTTCAATTGAATATAATAGTTTCAGATATGTCATGGGTTTACTCCGTGAATTTCAAGAATCAGAATTTATATGTTCGATTCGGATGTTGGCCCCCACTGGTTTCAAAGCAGATCCAATCCAATAAAATAGTGGTATAGAATCTTTACCAAATAATACCAACTCCCATGTAATTTTGGTGGTGATATAATATTTCCAAAGCCACCTGAGCAAACCAGGGCACAATTTCTTGTTTCCACGAAATTCCATCAGTGCCGTTGCATGCCGCGTTGAATTTGTTTTGTCGGCATTTCAATGCAGTGAGAAGGTTGCACCCATTTTTTGAAAAATTAGCATTCACTATTGAAATCCAGAAGTGCACTTAAGCAAATCACCGCTCTATGTAAGGGAGCAAAAATCCCCTTTCACTTCATCACTCCGAAGCGCTTCCGAGTGCTGGGTCCCCCCTGTGATGGATCTATGGGGCGATTTTTTTTATCGTTTTAGACCTGACCGAATCTTTTCAACATTCACTTAAGATAATAATTTTGTAGGCTTCCAGCACTCCGAAGCGCTTCCGAATGATGGAGTGATAGGGGTAACACGCGCCTTCCTCTACAACAGTGATTTGCTTAAGTGCACTTCCACATTTTGGAATTCGTTGCTAATTTAATTTTTCAATAAATCATTCACCCATTTGATCAGTCCAAGGGCTTGATATCCACAGAATTCCAGCCGAAGATCAGGGAATACCATGAGTAGTAGATTTTGAGGGTCATATCAGCGATAACTGTGAATCCACAAGCTTGGAGTGGGCCCCCCCACTCACCCACCCCTTACACCAAAATTCATCATATTTAATTAACCATCACCACCCACGCCATCATGGGGATGTGGGGACGTCCGATCAATATGTATAAGGGAAGGCATCTTTGAAATTTGGATTGTTAAAACTTTTTTGGTGCATGAGCAATACCTCATCCAACAAGGAATCTGGGAATTTGTTAAAACTGTGATATCGCATGAGTACCCTCTAACAAGTCCTTGGCTCAAACTTTACTTTTATGATAATTCATCCTCCGTTAATGTGACTTGGAATATTCTAATTAGACTATTTGACTACCTTAAGTGCTGGCAAGTATATACATGATTACATATATATATATCTAATAAATAAATAAATATATATATATATATATCAATATAAGCTATATATAGTTATACGCGCAACGCCTGGGTTTTGCCCAGGCGTTGCAGCGTAGAGGTTTCCCATTCACAAACAAATGATGTTGCAAATTGCCGTAATTCCTGTGGGGAAAATAACAAAGGTACTAGGGACTATTAAACAAACAAGGTCAAAACACCCAAAATTCCTATGGGAAAAACAAAAACGGCATAACATTTGAAATTCCTCTGGGAAAACAACAAAGGTAATAGGACATTTTAAACTCTCAAATCGTGAAACTTAACATTCAATTAGAAAGATCAACAAAAATATTAGGGAATATTAAACTCCCACCCCCGTTAAACCTTAAATTCCTATGGGGAAAACAACAAAGGTACTAGGGACTATATAAAAAAATGTCAAAACACCCGAAATTCCTATGGGAAGAACAAAAACGGTATTAGGGAATATTAAACTCCCACCCCCGTTAAACTTTACATTCAATTGGGAAGATCAACAAAGATACCGTATTAGGGAATATTAAACTCCCACCCCCTTTAAACTTCTACATTCATTGAAGATCTTCAATAAGGGTTTAATTCTCCCACCCCCTTTAAACTTCTACATTCATTGAAGATCTTCAATAAGGGTTTAATTCTCCCACCCCTTTTAAACTTCTACATTCATTGAAGATCTCCAACAAGGGTTTAATTCTCCCACCCCCGTTAAACTTCTACATTCATTGAAGATCTTCAATAAGGGTTTAATTCTCCCACCCCCGTTAAACTTCTACAGTCATTGAAGATCTTCGATAATGGTTTAATTCTCCCACCCCCGTTAAACTTCTACATTCATTGAAGATCTTCGATAAGGGTTTAATTCTCCCACCCCCGTTAAACTTCTACATTCATTGAAGATCTCCAATAAGGGTTTAATTCTCCCACCCCCGTTAAACTTCTACATTCATTGAAGATCTCCAATAAGGGTTTAATTCTCCCACCCCCGTTAAACTTCTACATTCATTGAAGATCTTCAATAAGGGTTTAATTCTCCCACCCCCGGTAAACTTCTACATTCATTGAAGATCTCCAAAAAGAGCTTAATTCTCCCACCCCCGTTAAACTTCTACATTCATTGAAGATCTTCAATCAGGGTTTAATTCTCCCACCCTCGTTTAACTTCTACATTCATTGAAGATTTTCGGTGTGGGTTTAATTCTCCCACCCCCGTTAAACTTCTACATTCATTGAAGATCTCCAATAAGGGTTTAATTCTCCCACCCCCGTTAAACTTCTACATTCATTGAAGATCGTCAATAAGGGTTTGATGATGTTGATGATGATGATTATGTTGATGAACATGATGTTGATGATGATGATGATGATGATGATGCGTCGCCCGTCGTCATTGCGGGTCCGGGCAAAACCCAGGCATTTGCCGTATATACATATATATGTGTGTAAAAATAAAAAATGTTCCAAACCACCAACCAGTTAGTATTTGTTTACCAATTTTTAATGGCTACTTTGGGAGGGTCTAGGTACAGGAATAGATGATCTGCAGATGCACATTAAAACATGGTGGCACCTTGATTTTGGTCGCTTTTATGAACACAAGCCATGAGCACTTTTCTTGTGTCGTACATGACCATCCTCGGACATGACTATGGCGGTTTCCTAAAATGGAATGCCAGAGTACCCTAAAGCAACAAATGTTCAGTTTTCTCAATTTCAAAATATCTAATTCTTGATGATTTTTAGAGGTAGCATGATTTCAGGAAACAGCAAATGTGTTCCTTTGAATTCCAGCCATTAAAATCCAGCGCCCAAAAACAGCCAGGACCACTCTCCCTCGTCCTCATAGGCGCGCATGTCCTATGGCGGGGAGTTTTGGGAGTTCCAGGGGCAAAATCTATAGGGTATAGACTATGAAAATATATTAAATGTTGATATATATATATATTTTGGATAATGATATGATAATGGATAATGATATGTAATGGATAATGATAATGATGTGTATATATAATGGATAATGATATGTAACGGATTATAATTGAAAAATATAATACAAAACCAACACATATAATGTTTGCGATATCATCTCTCAAGTGGGACTTAGAATCTAATATTAATCTAATATGAAATACAATGTGGGGCCCCAAGATAGGTAAGTTGGCTTATGATCAAAATAAAAATATTATATAGCAATTCCATCTACAATCTAAATTTGGTTTATAAACCAACAAACATAAACTAGGGCCACCACCTTGTAGAGGCGAGAGGCTATAAATACTATGACTACCTATGATTAGCAGCTGTGTCTAAATACCTTCTATGCATGTAACAGCAGTCGTTGTTGGATTTTTACTCCTACAGTATACTCTCCTATCTTTACTTGGTCACTCAAAACATGTTCGTAAGTAAATATCTTGCAGGATAGATGAATTAATTGAGATGACAACACTTCAAATTAGATGGATAGATGTATGGATATTATATGCTTATGGATATCTCCAAAACTATCATTGACACGGATCGATACATTAATTTAGGTCTGACTGCCTTTTTCCTCTCAAAGTTTGTGGCCAAATCCGCATTGTTTGGGAAAACAACCACCATTGGTGTTCCAAGAAATCCCCATCACTGGCCCAAAACCATCTGCAGCGGGCTGCCAAAGGATAGCAAAACCATGATCTTGGATTTGCTGAACTGGTTACCCTCTGGTAATTTAACATAGCTATTGAAAATGGCTATTTATAGTGGATTTTCCCATTAAAAATTGTGATTTTCCATAGTTATGTTAGTTTACCAGAGGTTACCCCCATCCGCCCCCCCCCCCAAAAAAAAAAAAAGAAAAAACCTGAGATTCTGTGCATTAACCAACAAATCCTGTTCAGCAAATCCTTAAGTTATTGGACACTTAAGGGAACAACTAGGCCAACTGTTGGGTTTATGAGGGATATATCTAGAGCTGGATCGGTTTTTCCTGAACAAATATAGGTGGAGAGTTTGATTTTGTGGAAGTGTTTTTTGGGGTGACTTAAAAAGATGGGGAGTTACTTTGTGTTCAAATGGGCAAATTATATGATAGTTCTTAGACAGGGAAATCCGCTATAGCCATTTGGGACTATATCCATTTAGGGATAGTTTTTCTTACTAACCATCACCAGTCAGGTCAGGCAGTGAGACTGCCTTCGCAATATTTCAGGTCAAGTGACCATGTCATGGACCCAAAACTAACATTCACCATATCCATCGCATGTTCCTCTGCAAATCCTGACGAAAAACGCACCAACAAATCGACACTTATCTGTATTTCTATCTATCTCTGATGATTTTCTCCATATTGCTTGACTTATCTCGGTTGATTAAGTTCCCGTCATGGCTAGTGAAAATGCAACCACCCCGAAACTCACTGCAGCACTGCGCCGGTCCCGAAAACCGAGGACTTTCTGTGTGGCGTTCCAGAAGGGTTTGATCATCAATTCTGCCAGGGACGTTGGCAGCAACACGGACCAAGTGCACCAAGTCATAGCACCCCATGAAAACTCATCATGGACCTCCTAAACAAGTGGCCTTTCTAACATGTTACTATGGTTTCTTGGAAAATCACCATTTTTCATGGGTAAATCCACTATAAATGGCCATGTTCAATAGCCATGTTAAATGATTTTCCTGAGATGTTCCCATGGTTTCTATAGGAAACTCCAATGTGAGACATCCGAACAAAAAGCCGTTGGAGACACGTTGGATCATGCCTCGTCCGTGAAGGATCGCAGGCTCTGGCAGGAAGATCTTCTTCTTCACAAGGTCAGCCTCGGCGAGCTCGGAGCTAGCGCGGCAAGGTAGGCCATGCCATAGGAGTGCTAGAAACTAAATATTCTGTCGAGTATCCCAAGTCATGTCTGTAAATAATAGATTATAATATTTACAGTAATATATATATATATGTATATATTATGATATGTATATTGGGATTTGTATCGGTCACACGTTATATATGGGCTCTGTATGGGGTTGCCTGTGCCACTTACAGTACTGACTGAGATGCACATCCAAGTACCCCTGCCATTAGTCCCAGCGATTAGGTCCCTCAACTGACGAATTATCATATGACTGGATTATCATACTTACCCAGCCAACCAGTTACTAAATATGTAATGTTTACATGGGGGGCAATTTATTGCAAAGCCGAAGTTGGCAAAAACGTGTAGAAACCAGCTTTGTCCACACTTCCAGGTCCAGGTCTTTGGGGCGAAACTTGGTGAGGAATGTGAGAACCATCGACGGTCGATTTCGTCGTGGCTCCAATGGTCCAAGACCCGCCGCTTCCATCCTCTCGGCCAGGAAAATCATCATGTTCCAGCTGGGTAAATCACCTATTTCTATGGTCCATTTTCCATAGCTCTTTGTATGTTTACCAGAGGGTATATACCACAACTATACCACAATCCATAACGATGTGAACAATTTCTCAAGGGTAAAATGAGATGGTTTTAGACATCTTCATGGTGAACGGTACGAACTGTGGCGCTGGGAAAAAATCATGGGATTGGTACGACCTGGATCCGATCAAAAACACTCCGTTGAAAAATCCCGGTGAGAAAGGATTATGGTTCTGGTTATGACTATGATAATGCTCATGATTATGGTGATGATTATGGTTATGATATTTTATGATTATGGTTATGACAGTCATGATATTTCACTCTGGTCCTCCTTCCCATGGGAATCCAATAGTGGATCGTTGAATCCTTCATGGAGACAACCCAATAGGGTATGGTGGTAAAAGTTAACCTGTTCTCTACAGTACTTCAAGTTGGGGCAGGGAATCTTCAACATAGTGGTTGAAGAATGTGAAACAACTCCAACTGTCACCCAAAGAATGGTCATATCCAACTGCTTTTTAATGGTACAAATCATCCCAAACCATCTAACATCCCCTAAAATCATCCCAAAACATCCCCTAAAATCATCCCAAGTCAATGTTTCACTTCGGTATTCTTGGGGGGGTTACTGGGTGTACCGTACTTACTTCAAAACGCACAAAACAAAAGAATCTGGGAAAAAGAGTTCGGCTATACTATCTGGTTGGTGGTTTCAACCTACTCCTCTGAAAAATATGAGTCAGTTGTGATGAAATTCCCAACTGAATGGAAAGTCATAATCCATTCCATGGTTCCAGTCACCACCAAGCAGCCATTCATATTCCATTACCAGACGGTTAATCACCATTAAATCACCATAAAATCACCATTAAATCACCATTAAATCACCATTAAATCATATAAACCATCCATCCATATGGCTGACCACATGATTAACCATATTTATGTATATACCCTCTGGTTATTTAACATAGCCATGGAATAGATGGCCCATTTATAGATGATTTTCCCAGCTAGAAACCTCCATTTAGTTCAGGGATTTTCCATGGCTATGTTAGTCAGAACCAGATGGTGATGGTGTATATATATATATATATGATGTGGTGACCCTTAAGCAACTATAGAAGTTTTTTTGCGGTAACTCATATGGATTGATGTTGCTTATTCATAACATGTTTATATGGTTGGAACCAGCCATAAAACTGGTGATTTTATGGTGATTTAATTAATGGTGACTTAATGATGATTTAATGGTGATTTTATGGTGATTTAATGTTACATAGCTATTGAAGCCATGCCATGGAAATAGCTGATTTCCCGAACTGAAAAATGGTGTTTTTTCATAGCTATGTAAACGTTTACCAGAGTGTAAACCATGATATAGTCCATATAGTCCCATTAAATCCCATTAAATCCGAATTAAATCACAATAAGTCTCCATGAAATCCCCCGTATAAGCTCTCCCATCAATCCCATCAACTCTCCATCCAACTCTTGTTTCTTGGGTAAACCCACTTTAACCACCATTTATAGATGATCTTCCATGATTTTCCCATTAAAAACCTTCATTTATACATTGAAAAAGCCTCCTTTTAATGCTGGACAATTTGCAAGCCAAGGCATCACCTCGTGGGAAGTGAATTAGTTAATTCACCTTGTTAATTTGCTAAGTCTACCTCGCCCCCCGGCTGACCTCGCTCTAAATTGTGCAGATGCTATATGGCTATATCATGTTATATCTGTTGCGGCTGGGTGACCAAGGGCCCAAAGGTCACGTGCAGTGTCGCGTCGCTGGCATAGGCCTGCCATGAAAAATGGTGATTTCATGGTTACATCAAAAAAGGTGATTTAAGTGGGCTTAACCAACAAACATGAACATTTAACCAAGAAACATGGTGATTCAATGGGATATGAATGAGATTTCATGGGGATATGCTTCGGGATATATATATATATTTATTTATTATCATATTAAACTATATTATATTATATCATATTATATTAAACTATATTATGTATTATGTTATGTTATGTATAACCAACAATAGCTAAGTTATTTTATCACTCAAAGAACTATGGTAATGGGGTTTGAATGGGATTCTAAAATAGTAGAAAGGATTATCCTGGATTTGATTCATGGTAAAGTCCCAGTCATGGTGGGGTAACCTTCAATAGAACAATAAAACAACCACACCAGCAAATTGAAGTTATACTGTGGGATTAATTGTAAGGGGAAAATCATCTAATGAAGTTTCGATTAATGGAGGGAACAAACTACGGCAAATATTGTTAAATATGTTTATTTTTGTTTCCCACAAACATGTAGTGATTTTCCCTAGGTTTTCCCAACCAGTTCTGGGATTATAGCAACACACATAAAAATGTAACAGCAGTTTACCACTGTTTTGGTTGGATTTTACTCTTCTACCTTTAATGGGTTTGTGTTCTGAACAATTATCGGTTGGTTTACTTTGGGGGTAATCCCCGCAGATCAGCCTGACATCTCACATTGGCTCTTGCGTTGTCTTCCTCCTTCGGGTTTGCGGGCTGCTTGCGCTTCTTTGAATGTGGCTTCTAGGTCCTTGATTGCGGCCTCCCATGCAAGGCGGTTCTGGTGCACCATCTGCACGGAGCAAGTCACGGTGGGTCATGTTCACAGCGGATCCCAAGCCACCACACCTTGGAGACGTTCTTGCCTGGCTCCTCGTGCTCGTAATCCTGGCACTGTAAGGTCTTGACCGAATTCAGGTAGCACATATTGTCTTCCTTTCCCTTTCAGAAGGGAACCTGAAAAAGTCACAGTGGGCGGTTTCTGAATGAGTCGTTGTGCGTTCGTCTTGAGCACAGCATCCAACAGGGTAAGACTCAGTCCCCGAAACCATTGTGTAAATTCACACTCAAAGATTGCTGTAAAGTTTGTTTTTCTTTAAAAACCGAGTTTGGCATTCATAAGAAGCGCTGTAAACGTACTTGAAAACAATGAAGGGCTATGGCTCGAAAATCGAGGACACCTGCACCCGCAAATGGTGGTTGTCTTCATCAACAAGAAATGGCCTGGGGTCCAAAATGTCCTCAGTTTTATACCATAAGGGGAGCTGGTCCTGGTCGCTAGAAGACCCTATGACTTCATGATCAACTCCCCATTGTTCATGTCGCAAATCTCATGATTTCATGCACTTGGCCACTTCTTTGCTCAAACATCCCAGCCTTTCTGTTGGTGAAATCCCTGCTGCAGTGCTGGTTCTTTCCAACTGTTATTCTGTGAAACCACAGTTATAGCCATTTATCAGTTATAAGTACTAACAAAACCCCATTTATAGAATGTATAGCCCCATTTATAGAATGTATAATCCCATCTATAACCAGTTATAACTGTTAAATGGCCATAACTGCAACTTGCAGAGCGCAGGCCTCACCACAATAGTCCACCTGGCGCGTGACAGAAAAAAACGCGCCAGGTGAAGCTGGGATTCCAGGCTGATGTGATCGAGCGCTTAGCCCAATTAGTAAGTGGCTAATAAGATCTAATAATATGATCCAGTAGAAGATAGGTTATTCATAGTGTGTATATATAGATATATATGATTAACCATAGTAATTACTAACCACATATATACAGTTATATATTGTATATATATATATATTTCTATATTATCCAGTAATAAACATAGTAATTTACAGGATCTAAGGGTTTTAAACCGCAGTACTTACATTTCACGTCGCTAAACTCAGCTTAGTGGTTTGTGAATTTCCCCAGTTCAAAGTCGAACTTTGAGTCGGAGAAATGGTGGGCTTGCCGCGCACGGAAAATCCTAAAGGGCCTTCTTCAAATCCAAGTGTATGGTTGCCACACCCACATGGCAGTGTGTCAAAACCTTGTACCCCTTCTGTTCACATCAAAATAGCTGGTAAATGGATGTTCATCCCCCTAAAAATGGTATTTTCATAGGTATTGATCCATACCCACAGAATTGTGGTATAGATCCAGTAACAAACACTATCCGATATGGGGATTTGTTACATAAGGAATATCACCCATTGGGATGAGGTATGGCGATTTGCCTACAAAATGGTGATCAGTTACCCAGTTCGCTTAAAGAAACCCCTGGTACAATCGAGGACGAGTCACCATCCCCTTGACAATGGGATGATGCTGTACCCCCAGGCATCATCCACAGGGATTTTCCATTGTAAACGACCAATGTTTGGGGATCCCTTCATTTATGGAAACCCCCAAAAGGCTAGTTACTGCAGGATGATGGATCATTGGGTTTACCCTAATTTACCCTTGTTTTTTCTTGGTGGGCGATCCTGGATGACTAGATCCAACGCTAAACCAGGGACCGCAAAAAGGCGAACCAAGCATTTTGTGTGCATTGTCACCATGGTTCTGATGGTAAGAAAAAAACACCCTATGGCATGAATGATAATCAAATACACATCTACGTGGCTATAGATTCTAACCCATAGGATCCATGTATGCTATATATGCTAACATTTACCATCAAATCAATATACCCCAAATGTTAGCATATGTATATATATATATATACCATACATGGATCCTATGGGTAATGATGAACAACATGAACCAAGGCCCCAATCAGATAGTTGCCTGTATTTTCACAATCATTCCAGTGCCGTCGCAGTGAAGTCCTTAGAGTTCATCATAGGAAACATCCAGATTTCTAGCTGAGTTTCCCATGGTTTTTCTCATGAATCCAATACAAAGTCCTTTATTATTCCATTATAATCCAATAGATTATCATGAGTCCAACGGAATAATGAATAATAATGTCCATCCATAAGTTTCAACCATAAATTGTCATGGACAGGTTATCAGACGTAAATCCAACCAGCAACCAATATTTTTTTTTCATTCAGTCCCAGGATTTCCCCTTGTTTCACGCTGCGCTAACGCTGCGCTAACGCTGCGCTTATTCCGCTCACCTCGCCCTTGTTGAACTTCTTGCGCCACTGGGTGGAGAAACTATGCCTCAGAGCGAGGGGACATTTCTACAAGGTGCAGTTGTGGCCATTTATCAGATAAGTACTTATAGCCCCATTTATAGAATGTATATCCCATTTATAACCAGTTATAACTGGTAAATGGCCATAACTGTGGTGATCATAGGATATAACTAAGACTGGTTGGTGGTTTCAACCAACCCCTCTGAAAAATATGACAACTCGTCAGATTGGATCATCATCCCAACTATTGGGGAAAATAACATTCATGTTCCAAACCACCAACCAGAAGATATATGACTAAGATGGATTATATGATTTATTTCTACAAGGAATTGAATAGATACTTAAAAAAAATAGTTACAAGTTACAAGGTATACTATAACATACTATAACAAAGAATGAAACTAAGACTATGACTAATGAATTTCTATAGTATACCTTAGTGATTACAGGATGTAACTAAGACTAAGATATAACGGACATGAACTACTCACGATATATGACTTATAGCTAGGATCTAACAAAAATATAACATACATATTAACTATATAATGTCATTAATTACTCAAGATATGACTAGGTGATGATCGTTGGTGAAGTTGGTTTATAACTAGAATAACTGTTGGGTTTATGGTGATTAATGTTTGGGAATGATTAAAGAGATGGTACCCTATTGTGAGAAATTTCTTGCTCCTAATTCAGTCACATGCTAATTGTTGGGGGGGAACTCTATTGTGATTTTTTTTTCAGATTTTTTTCATTTTTTTTATGTTTTATTTTTCATTTTTTGTTTTTTTTGCTTTTTTTAAATTTTTATTTTTTCAATTTTAGATTTTTTCCAGATTAATTATTTCATTTTTTTTATTTTTTATTTTATTTATTTATTTATTTTTTTTAAAAAAAATATTTTTTCAATTTTAGATTTTTCCAGATTTTTTCCAAATAATTAGATGCCTTATTAAACCCTTATTAAAAAACAGCACTCAGACAATTTTTCGAGGGGGTACCTCATGAGTGGCTCAGTTACTCAATAATATAATTGTTTGGATGGTACTCTATTGTGAGCACCAACTTTTGGGAGTGAAAAAAAAAACATTCTCCACCTTTCTTTGGGTAAAGCTGGTCCTTTTACTTTAGAAAGCCATATTTATGCTAAAGCTTTAAAATGCAAGGTTTTCCAAATAATTAGATGCCTTATTAAACCCTTATTAAAAAACAGCACTCAGACAATTTTTCAAGGGGGTACCTCATGAGTGGCTCAGTTACTCAATAATATAATTGTTTGGATGGTACTCTATTGTGAGCACCAACTTTTGGGAGTGATAAAAAAAAAACAAATCCCTTTCTCCACCTTTCTTTGAGTAAATCTGGTGCCTTTACTTTAGAAAGCCATATTTATGTTAAAGCTTTAAAAAGCAGGGTTTTCCAAATAATTAGATGCCTTATTAAACCCTTATTTAAAAACAGCACTCAGACAATTTTTCAAGGGGGTACCTCATGAGTGGCTCAGTTACTCAATAATATAATTGTTTGGATGGTACTCTATTGTGAGCACCAACTTTTGGGAGTGAAAAAAAAAAAAAACCCTTTCTCCACATTTCTTTGGGTAAAGCTGGTCCTTTTACTTTAGAAAGCCATATTTATGCTAAAGCTTTAAAATGCAAGGTTTTCCAAATAATTAGATGCCTTATTAAACCCTTATTAAAAAACAGCACTCAGACAATTTTTCAAGGGGGTACCTCATGAGTGGCTCAGTTACTCAATAATATAATTGTTTGGATGGTACTCTATTGTGAGCACCAACTTTTGGGAGTGAAAAAAAAAACAAAACCCTTTCTCCACCTTTCTTTGGGTAAAGCTGGTCCTTTTACTTTAGAAAGCCATATTTATGCTAAAGCTTTAAAATGCAAGGTTTTCCAAATAATTAGATGCCTTATTAAACCCTTATTAAAAAACAGCACTCAGACAATTTTTCAAGGGGATACCTCATGAGTGGCTCAGTTACTCAATAATATAATTGTTTGGATGGTACTCTATTGTGAGCACCAACTTTTGGGAGTGAAAAAAAAACACCCTTTCTCCACCTTTCTTTGGGTAAAGCTGGTCCTTTTACTTTAGAAAGCCATATTTATGTTAAAGCTTTAAAATGCAAGGTTTTCCAAATAATTAGATGCCTTATTAAACCCTTATTAAAAAACAGCACTCAGACAATTTTTCAAGGGGGTACCTCATGAGTGGCTCAGTTACTCAATAATATAATTGTTTGGATGGTACTCTATTGTGAGCACCAACTTTTGGGATTGAAATCAATTGAAAAAAAAATAAAAATAAATTAAAAGTAAAATTGAAAATCAATTGAAAGTAAATTGAAAGTAAATTAAAAGTAAATTGAAATCAATTGAAAGTAAATTGAAATCAATTGAAAGTAAATAAAAGTAAATTGAAATCAATTGAAAGTAAATTGAAATCAATTGAAAGTAAATTAAAAGTAAATTGAAATCAATTGAAAGTAAATTGAAATCAATTGAAAGTAAATTAAAAGTAAATTGAAATCAATTGAAAGTAAATTGAAAGTAAATTGAAAGTAAATTGAAATCAATTGAAAGTAAATTAAAAGTAAATTGAAATCAATTGAAAGTAAATTGAAATCAATTGAAAGTAAATTGAAATCAATTGAAAGTAAATTAAAAAAATTGAAAGTAAATTGAAAGTAAATTGAAATCAATTGAAAGTAAATTAAAAGTAAATTGAAATCAATTGAAAGTAAATTAATTAATTAAAAGTAAATTGAAATCAATTGAAAGTAAATTGAAATCCTTTCTTAAGTTGATTGACCAAAAAAATGTTGAGGGGGGGCCAAAAAAAGTGCGAGTTGTAGAGTATCCTCAAATTGTTTGGGGGGGGGGCCCCTCACACTAATCAGACGCAAACATTATAACTTAAAACATCTTAAAACTATATAACTACGGATACTACGGGGCACTGCCACGTAACTATCTCAACTTCAACTGGTACTTTGGCTTTAGCCAACCAATAACAAATGTTTTTACTTCCATATTTGGGATATTTACGCATAACAGATAAAGTGGGGATACTGATCCACAACATTCTCAAATGTGATTTCCACAATAACAGATCCAACAAACAATTGCTCAATGGTTAGAACCGCCCGGATGATGAAAACAGTAAATTACTCAAGAACTTGAAACCACCAGCGTACACGTATTAAAACCTGCTTATTGAACAGAAGTGGGGGAATTGACCTCGGGGTAAACCACGCCGGAAGACTATTGGGCTTGGATGATCCGAACATTGCTACAAGACCCATGACCCATTCTGCCCTTGTTCTAGGGTTTCCCCAAGAATTTCTGCACACACCCAAAATGTGAAATTACATGTTATACAGGTTTACACCAATGTAAGAAGCTGACGACAATAGCATCTACTGAATTCTCTGAACCAAGACATCATATGATATATGTGGCTTTCTTAACCTTTGACCATTATGTCAAATTGTGTCAGGCCATGAAACCTACCTATCCCATCCGATAAATATTGATTGCTTAATAGGTATCCCACCCATGGTTTCTTGTAGTCCGCAATGCGCCATCATTTTAGGTTTAAGATCAAACCTATCACAGTACCATTATGGTAGTATACCCCAAAAGTCATATAAGCCCCATATGCGAACCATGGTGCTGGAATATTTACCTACATTTACCCGAACAAAATATAACAAAATCACCCAGTCATGTAGGTAAATATACCAGCACCATGGTTCGCATCTGGGAACCATAAGACCCTTCTCCCATTCGGCCCCTGGCAATATAACCCCCGATGGCTTCGACCAAGTGAGATACTGTGGGTTGCAAGATCCGGCACCTTGGATGGTTGAAAGCCTATAAATAATGGGAGTTTGCCCATCTATCAACTGGTGCAGGATTTCGCTGGCCCATCCACAGTATGGCTAGCTTCCTAAAGCAGAAATCTCTAAGAACCATGACTTCGAAAAACAACAAATACCCTCTGGTTATGACTAACATAGCCCTGGAAAATCCACCCATTTTCAATAGGTCAATAGGTCAACCATCTATTTCGATTAGGGCCATCTATACCATGGCTATGTTAGTCATAACCAGGTTGGGTAACTGGTGGTGAAAAAAACATCGCAACCAGCCACTGAAAAAACGCTATCACCTGAGTCACCCAGACTGAGCGCTCAGAACCATTTCATCTTCAAGCAACCGTCTGGGCGCAGCCAGCACCTGCCAGGACTGGTTCACGTGGATAAGAAAAATCACCTGGGGCAGAAAAAGCAAGGTGTTTTTTATTACGTCTAATTCATTATCATATAAATGATAATCCATTATATACCATTATATATACATAGTTATCATAGTTATTATAGTTCATGTTGCTATGATATTATAGTTGACTATCAGTTTTTGGGGTAACCGTCTGACGCCCCTCTTTGTTTTCTCGCCTGCCAAGTGAAACTGAGGAGTAGCAACCATCTGGAGCACGCCTTGGTCATTGCGGACACCTGTGCTTTTCCTTAAGCACGTGTATAATGTAAGTACAGCAATAGTAAGCCCTGAAACCATCAAAACTGGTTGATTGATTCCTGCTTTACTGATATAATATCTATATATATATATTTAGTAGATCATATTATGTGTAACTTATATCATGTATAATATATTATAATATATATATACTGTATATATATATACTAATATGCGTGTATGTATATATATATATATATGGACGATTGTTTCTCCATATCAAACAATGTTGAAATTTGGCTTCTCGGTCATGTTCATCATCCCTTCTGGGGCATATCAACCACAGATGAACGCTAACACCTACCACTTCTGATCTGTTAATCAAACATGGCTTGCTGGAAAATACGACATTTATAGTTGTTTTTTTCAAAACACATCCATTTATGGTGTAAATCCATGGAAAATCATGGAAAATCCTATGACAATGCCAATGTTCAAACGCTAAACTTCATCTAATCTATACATGAAAAAAAACTCTCGATGTTTCCGTTTTCGACCGACTCCTTGCTCCCAGGTGTTGAAATTTGGAGTTCATCTGAGGTCCCCTTTTTGGAACATGGGATTGTTGGGGGGATGGGAATACATTCCAATAATTATTCATGGGATGGGAGTGTTAATATATTAACATATACCATTAATTCACTATAACTATTATTAATATCAACAATGGGTTTGTAAAATAGTGACATATACAAATTAACAAAATATATGTGTGTATATATATACATATATACATATATATATACTTATATACACATATATATAACGAATATTGATGGGATTGGATTATATCAGAGACAAAACGCATCCAAGTCCCAGGAACTTTGTGGACTATGCTTTGAGAACCACAGATTTTCCATGGCTGAGGTCCCAACGGCCATGGCTGACATGGAAAAACCTCCGCTGATCTACGGTGAAAAGGATGGATTCAATTTGGGTGAAGCGGCTAATCCTCGAAACATGTGCGTGTTTTTTTTTCCACAGCTTGGTGGTTCCGACTTGTCAAGAAACATCTCAAGTTGAAGTTCCCTCTGATCTGTTCTGCGGGTGGCAGCAACCTTGACGGTGTTGGACTGTGTTGGGCCTTATGCTGTCTCCAAAACTGCTTTCGAGCAACGCTTCCGGCGGCAGAGGCTTTCAAGGGCTTAGAGGATGTGGCGCTTGAGGGTACAGGGCGCAGGGGCTTACCTGGACCAAAAATCTTCCATGGTAATTTAACATATCTATTGAACATGACTCATTTATAGTTGATATATCCATTCAAAATGGGTGGATCTTTCCATAGTTATACAGGGTATCTACACTTACCATTCAAAACTCCACAACCACCCAGGCATGGCGTCTAACACCTGAAAGGGGTAAGCTCCAAGGTATCGAACCGATAAGCTCGGTCCTTTTCCCCCAGGACGATCACCGATCCACTGAAATCAGGTGTCTATCACCATGTTTTTGCTGAACCCCAGACTTTCTTGTTCATTCATTAAGCTTAAAATATGAACTCCAATCCACTATCCCATTCAGAAATCCCAAGCTTCCATCATGGTCAAGTCCCAGCAGCAGTGTTCACTTTTACCAACGCTTCCTGCATCAATCGCAGCGAACGCTGCTCGGCAACCAGCAGCCTTGGAGATGCACAACATCGCCCTGGGGCTGGTTTAAGGGGTTCCTGTATTGATCAGCTTTCTTTCAGTACCCTCTGGTAATTTAACATAGCTATTGAACATGGCCATTTATAGTGAGCTTTCCCATTAAACATGGTAATTTTCCATAGCTATGTTAGTTTACCAGAGGGTACTTCTTTTGAGATTTAACCAATCATACCAATCAAAATCTGGATTTTACTGGTGTATAATGTATATGTCCAAATCTGATGTTTCAATGGATTGACTTGAAAGAACGATTGCAAGAACAGCTGCTTTTTACCATAAAACAAACATGGTGGTTTCCAGCAAATTGTCCCTGCATCCATTTTTGGCGACAATACCAACATGACGTGATATGTCTGTGGAACTGATTTCTCGAAGTTCCCGTTGCCCATTCCACTTAATACATCTTAACACCAGATATAATGAGGTTGGAACTGCCCACAACTGGGCATCTCCGCTCCTTCCGGACATCTTCAAAACATCTTCGAAACATCAAACCTGAGATTGGAAAATTGTGGAACATGATCTTTCCATATTTTCTTTGATTAATATCATAGATGTTCTGGCTGGTGGTTTTAACCACCTTGAAAAAATTGAGTTCGTCAATGGGAAGGATGACATCCCATATATTTCCTGGAAAACAAAATTCGTGTTCCAAACCACCAACCAGCTGTCTAACTATGGTTTATAGGTGATATATCTATAGTCAATGGGGTTTATAAACCAATTTATGATGTTTAATATGATATATGGAAAGTTTCTTGATTTATCTTCCACATCGCAGGGAATTTCTGGTCCAAGCAGCATTTCTGAGGCCACACGGCCGTACTTCGCCGCCTCGAAACTTGGGCGCACACAACGGAGGTACTCGGTGGTAGTCGCTGGCTCAGCCCACTTAGTAAGTGGCTTATAGGTGGCTTAACACCAGGTTATGGCCATAGCTACCAGTTATAGGTTATTTCTAGAAGGGATGATACATTCTATTTCTATGGGGTGACTTGTTAGTACTACTAACTGATAAATAGCCATAACTGTAGTAAGTGGGTTAAAACCAGTTATGGCCGTGGACTAAGCGTAATTGTCCGACTTATAACTGGGCTGGGGCTCTTCCACTTCCTAAGTGGGGGCTCAAGCCAGTATGAATGGTCATTAAAAACCAGAAAAACCCTCTGGTAAACTAACATAACTATGGAAAACCACCATTTTTCATTGGTAAATCAACTATAAATCACCATGTTCAATAGCTATGTTTGTTTACCAGAGGGTAATTGTCATCTTATGACATCCGTCATCTCAAACATCCACTATGACTGGTTGGTGGTGCAATAACCATCTTAAAAAAATATGAGTTCGTCAATGAGAAGGATGACATACCATATATGCCATATATGAAATTGAAAATAAAATTCATGTTTGAAACTTTGAAACCACCAAACAGATGAATTATATATCATAATTCTTGATGTTCAAACAACAACACTAGTCTTGTGTTTCAACAAAACATGCGTGCTGATTCAACAAAACGTGACATATATGTTTTGTTTTGTTTCAATCCTGAATTCAAGAAACTTGTAGTGATTGTAGTAGTAGTGTTTTCATGATTCTCTAGGAAAAGCCATTTACAGTATTGTTGTAAGGTCACAAACTTGATTTGATGTTATCTTGCAGCGTAATGTTTCTTGATGTTCATCGTTTGACTGTGACACACGCAATGGTTGAGTGTTAATACTGCATATGCTGGGATGCACATCCAAGCAACCCCCCTGCTTGTGTAAACTTCTAGTTATGTCGTATTCCCGAAGTGTCAGAAACCAAATAAACCAGCCAGAAACCAAACAAACCAGCATGTCACGACATCTGTTTTTTTTTTGATCCCTAAACTTCCAGGGTCTAGTTCTAAAACATGACCCGTCATGTGAGCATTTTGGTACCCTATATTCTTGAGACCGACTTGCATGTGCCAATGGGGGAGTCGAGAGCTTGTTGTGAGGTCGCTATAGTCTACCTACAAGCTGGTGCCCCGGCGCTGCCCCCTCTTTCTAAGTTGGGATTGAAATCCCATTAAGTAGATACAGATATTGATATTACCACTAAGTCCTCTAAAAATCTCTAAAATTGTATTATTCTAATTCAATCATGAAGCTTACAAACCAACTTCGCCACCCAACACATCACGCCTCACATGCGCTCAGCACCAACATGGCTGCGGCCGCATCCAATTCGACGTCCATCTCCATCTCCCCCAGGAGACGCAACAGCATTAGCGGACGACCTGCGGGAACTATTGGGATGGCTATAGGAGGGTTTCCTAACTGGTTGGTGGTATACCTACCCCTCTGAAAAATATGAACGTCAGTTTGGGATTATTATGACCAATACATGGAAAAACAAAATTCATGTTCCAAACCACCAACCAGCTAAAATGGGGGGTACCCACAGTCATGATCCATTTTAAATTTGTATGTTCCATGAAATAAACCATGAAACCCGCATAGGAATCCCATAGCCAACTATTAATGATGTGATTATAATGGATTAAACACTATGAAAAAGAGGAATAAAGTCACTATAATGGGGCAAACCAGCAACTTTCTATGACCAGTTGTTGAATTTCTAGAATTGTGCCGTTATTCGCGTCTCGCGTCCCCCTTGACCAAATATTGAGACCTGGGTGGCGCCATCTAAGGATACCACTGATAAAACGACAAACCTACCTGGTTTGGGCAAAAACATGATAATTCCGAATTCCGGAAGGCTGGTTTTACAAAATGACAAATCCAAATGGTACAAACTCTATGAGATTCCATTGATTTCATACAAACAAAATCAAACAAATCCTTATATAATCTGGCAGTCCGTGCTAAAATCCCGTCTTATCATTTTAGACATACCGGGTGTCTAAAAGCATTCTTAAAGCATTGTTTAAACTGGGTTAAAATTTGTTGAAAGCTGTTTGCAAGTTTTTTTTACAGTGTTTAGCTTACACAGTCTATTTCCGCTTCGGGCAGCATTGCCCCATGGCGACTGTGTTGTAACTCCATAGGTCCTGTGCTAGCCTAGTTAGAAACCAGGTCACACATCCAAGGGGGTTGATAGACGTTGGAATGGTTTTGACCAAGAAAAGTGGGCATTGTGATGTGCTGAAGTGGTAAAGACGGATACAGGCTGAGGGGCACTTGAAAGCAGGACGCTGAATCACTGCAATTTGAGGGAAAACATGCAGGAAAGTGGTGAAAACACGACAAGGATGCTCAAAGCGAGTGGACCGAAACACACTCACAGTTTGGAATCATCTTAATTTTAGAGAAGGCTTTGCCTGCACAGAACGGTTATATTTGTTGGTCTGAAAATGGTTATTTTTTTCAGGTACAGTATCCTCCGCAACAACCAAACAATATTTGTTGGCGATTCCGCCCTCACCCACCTCCCTGAAGGCAAGCCGTCCAGAGTGCAGAATGAGATACCTGAGCAGGGAAACCTTCTCTTCTCAGACCTACGAGGTGATAGCTCCTATCATATTATCTAAGTATCTACCAATGGGCCATCTTCCAAAGTTAAAAAAAACTGAAATGATTGATTCTAAGTTAATAAGTTGGTTTATTGCCCAATATTGCCCTTGCCTATCTACAATATTCTACACTCATTTCATCACCATCAACCCTATTCTGGTTATCTGTTGGGGGGTCAGGGGACTAATCCCATGTGAGCAGTGTGTTTTTTTATCCCTCTATCATTCCATCAAAAACTGCTTGAAGTTTATGTCGGGATTCCCCGTTCTTGGATTAAATTATAGTCCCCAATATATATTCCCCTATTGGGGTATTATAATCCCCAATATATTGGGTAGTATAATGCGGAACTGATCATCAACCAACCAGGGTTTTTGAAGACTGCGATAAAATGAGATCAACCATTTTGCCGGAAAGTGGTTCCGGCGCCAGGTGAGACTGGGGCAACACTTTGGCCATGGGGATCAATTTTTAATGGGATGATTTCAAGATATAAGATAACCTCAACAGAAAAAACTAATTTAGGTCTATATCCAGTGAATCCACAATCCTTGGTTGATACGCAAGTTTCATGGGCCTTTCCACTATTGGTGAATGACCGCCCCATGTAAGTACCCTGTTCGCCACTTAAGTTCACTCGGGTAAACAGGGACCTGTTTGCTCAGATGTGAAACTTTGTGGTGGCAAGGTGTGGCTACAAACCATCCACAAAACGATGCACTTTGGTGTAGTGTTTTGGGTCAATCAATTTGAACACATACCAAGCGACCAATGCTCATCAAC